GAGAGGATGGGATTACCAAAGTCAGGATTGGACACCATACATGCATGATGTATACCAGGATACAGAAACATGGGGGATTGATCGAGGATTGGTGGACTTGGACATTGGTAAGAATGATGACATCAATGCAATATCAGAATCGTCGCCCAAGCTACTGGGAACTCACCAGGACTTTGATTTGGATAATGGCGGAGAGTTATCGCCAATGGAATTTGGCTTTGGTATGGAAATCAATGAGACAGCTCTTGAAGTTGGGTATTACGACAAACCGGTTTCGATATGTATACCTCGTGTACTTCAACCATTGCCTGCAAAATTACTGGAAAATCCTATGAATCTACTTGTGAGCATTTTCATTGTCAATCTCAATTCACCGCTAACTGAATAACAGTATTTTGTAAGCCCTTTTTTTCGTGAATTGGCTTTGAGCTGTACAACTAACCTGTCCTAGCATCATTTCCTAGACCATACAGCAGGCTGTCTAATACCACACAATTGTTCTTCTAATCCATTCCGGAGTATTCTGCCGCAAATGGCGGTTCGAGATGATGATCTGTTACATCTTCTACTTGCATACTCTGCCACACATCGTGCCAGACTCTTGAGACAACCCGAACCTGCGACTCGTATAGCTTTATGGGTCAAAGACATCTTTCCTAATCTTAGGCACGCACTCGACGACCCAAATAAGATTACGTCGAATGTCAACCTGGCAACGGTAATCATGCTCGCATCTTTGGAGATAATATCTCCAAAAGTCTTTGGAGTTGCCGTTCCATGGCAGAAGCATCTCGAGTTCGCGCGACAAATGCTCGTTGCCAGGGGTGGAGCCCATCGTATGCAAACTATATCTCGGAAAGATAAAGTCTCGTCTTTCCTATGGGGTTGGTTTGCATATTTGGATGTCCTTGGCAGTATGAGTGGAGGACAGAACCTTTCGTCCGCTTGGATGTTGGATTATGAAGCAGAAGATGAAGAGGATGGTTATCAAATTGATTGTATTCTAGGTTTCACAAGTCATTGCATCCGAATACTTGCCAAAGTCGCTAATCTTGCCCGTCAATGTGACGAGCGTCGCATTAATCCTGATTCAACAATTAAACAAGATTGGCAACCATCCGATGAAGTTGTGACCCGTGCGCACAAGTTAGAAGCAGATCTTATCGAGTCGCGGCGTCACCCAGCGAAACCTTGCACTCACATGCAATCTAAATCAGAAGCAGAATATGGTTGGGATAGTCTTGAGGTCGCTGCAACCAATGAAGCTTTCCATTCTGCTGGGCTAGTCCATCTACATCGCAGGATACTGGGAAAGCCCTCAGCTCATGAGGATGTCCAGCATGCTGTTGGTGAGATACTTGGCTCCTTCAACAAGGTTAGAAAAGGAAGTAGTGCCGAAGCATGCTTGTTATTTCCCATGTTCACAGCTGGATGTGATATATGGGATGAGAAACAAAGATCGGATATTCTCGAACGAATGAACAGGGTTGAGAGATACGGAATGACACAAGCACATAAAGCACGGAAATTGATGGAGCAGGTCTGGGAATCTGGAAAACCATGGGAGACGTTGGTAGGCGGAGAATTCTTTGGTTGAATCTTCGGATACTCAACGATTGAGCACAAAGTCTTGAATTATTTCAAAAGGCCAGGTCAATCATGTAATACGTATACCTTTACAAAACCTCGCTGCCTTTGGAACAATGAGAAATTGCGTACGCAATCTTTCAGCCTACGACTTCATTTCTGAGAATGAGAGCCAGAGCTTTCCACGCTGTACTTTTTTTTTGAAAGTCAAGAAGTGTGCCATTTGATTTTGTCCTGGGCATGACGTTAAAAGGCCTAAGTCATTCGAATTTGTACAATACATGAGAATAGTAGTTCTACAGGGCATTCAGAGTTTGTCTGAATAGCCTGACGGGCTCATGCGACCGATAGAGTCTTTGATGGACCCCGTCGTCGATGGTGCCTGTAACCTTACGTCGTGGAGTCTTTTCTGAAGGAGATATGCGTGATAGTAAGCGACTCATCAACAAGGTGAGTCAACTTTGCTCCGGAGCCAGCATTGGGGACTAGGCCCCAGAAGATTCAGTTACCGGCTTAGAATTGAGTTGCCTGAATTCGCATCAGTTCAACACAATTTCTTCCGCCGCAGCCACACTACTAAGGGGGATAATACCAGTGAAGGGGTATGGTCACGTCTTGCCACGGATTAGTCAAATTTTTCGAACTTCCGCTGCAGATCCATGTATTCACATTTCATTGGCGCAACCAAAGGATTCATTGGTGCTTCTTGAGGAGGGGTGGTGAAAGTCGCACCTTTGAATGCACCACATACCGGTGCTGTGGTGGTGAATGCGAACCCATCATTACCTGTTGTCGGGAACAAACGACGCCAGTATGAAGGTTGACAAAACTGTTGTAAATTTCCGCGAATTGTCTGTCTATTGGGTGATCACCTTCCACTAATTAGCTGCAGTCGATACTTTATATCGGCAGGAAATTGGATCCAACCGATTGCCCGCTCATACAGGGCATGAATTCAGACGGTAAGGATGTCACTAGATCTTATTTATCACAATAGACAACTTGTGGAAATCCTTGTAAGGTCTGGTATCATGTTCTTGATGATAGTCACGATCGCGCAATGCGATGGAATGTGACTTTGGTTGGGGGTGATTGCGTGTTTATAATATCCGTTTTGCTTCTATAATGTCTTAAGGGGAAAAATCTATTCAAGCACAAAAAAAGTCGAAACCCTCCCAAAACAACCAACACCATATGGTGTTGAAGGAAAAAAATTGATAAAATAAGTTTTGAAAAAAAAAAATAGTAAAATCAAAAAATTAAAAAAAGAACTCGAAGCCAATGAGGGGCGGGAAAAGGGGGCGAGGGGAAGAGGGGATTAGAACAGCCACGCGAATACCATTTCAGGAAGAATCAGTATACTGCTGTGCCAAGGGGTGCAAAGGTTTTTGACCGATCTGTCTCTCTGATCAATCTATAGTCACTATCGTCAGGTGGTGTGACTATGATGCTCTTAGGGATGAAAAGGCCCCTTCCACATCGATCAGAGTCTCTTGAAATAAGGACTGCTAGAGGTAACCTGACTGCCTCTAGTTTGCTTCTATTTCAAGGTGAACTAGGGTAGTGCTGTGCCCATCGGTGCACATTTTCCTTCGAGGTGGTGTTGACTTTGCTTGGAAGCTTTAGGGGATGGAGAGACATTTTTGCAGATTGAGCAGTTTTTTCTTGAAATGGGGGCGGGAAGAAGTGGTTTAAGTCCTTAGACTGCTTCTTGGAGTTTCTGTTTCAAGATGAATTCGATAAGTGTTGTGCTGACTAGTACGCATTTTCCTGGTCAATTTGTAGTCACTATTGTAAAATGATCTAGCTGGATAGATACATTTTACAAATGAGCAGATTCATTTTATTTGGGGACGGGAAGAATCAGGCTTGCTTCTTGGAGTTTCTACTTCTAGATGAATTGGATAAGTGCTGTGCTAACGAGTATGGTATGATTTCCTTAACACCTTGCTCATTGCAAGTTTTTTCTTCCTTCTTCTTTTTACCCTTGCCAGTGACCATCATAAAAAGAAGAAGATGGGGACAGGGGAGTGAGTGGGGATGAAGGCACCTACGCTAGACTCGAATCTAGACGTAGATTGATGTAGATGTGGTGGACGGATGGATAAATGGGTGGATGTCAAAAAACTTTTCAAACAACAAATGAAATTTCGAAATGAAGTCGAAATCTGGTTAGTATCAGAGAATATGAGAATCGACTACTTTTAGGAATTTTCCTCGGGGACTCATGTGGTAATGGGTTATGAATTAGTAATGTGGAATAAGACCTTTCAGGGGGCCTTTTTGTGGATGAAACTTTGAGATCTGTTGGCTTGGGTTTGGGACTGGGGCTGGTTTTTTTCCTGGGAGAGGGAGATTTTTGGGGGCTCGGAGAACGGAGGTTTTAGTAATTTGGGAATGGAATTTGTTTGTTTGAAGATTGAGGGACGATTTTATGATATGTGTGATGTTGTGTTTTGTGAGAAGATGCTAACTGCTGTGAACTGATGTGAGGTGGTGTGAGGTGGTGTGAATCGAGTGAGATTATGTTGTATGTGGTGATGATTTTGTAAAGTTTGGGTTTTGATAGTTGAGGTGTGAGGTGAGAGATGGGAGACGTGAGGTGTGAGGTGTGATGTGACAAATGCAATTTTTTTTGAAGTATACAGGGGGATGGTTCTACATATCATTCTTGTCCTTGAGTTTGCAGCAGTATGTTTAGTACTAACAAAGATGATAGTTGAGGGCTTGTATATTGGGGTTTGTGGGGGGGATGAGTTGGAGAGGGACTTTGTGGATGGTTTGAATTTAAGGAATGAGCAGTGAGAGTTGGGGGCAGGTTGTATGTGGAATGGGGCTTAGAGGTGGAAGTCAAGGATTGATGGGGGGTTATGGAGGGTAAAATCGACGGTGAGGATGCATGCGAGATATGAGTCAAAGGATGAGACTCATATAAAGAATGGGGTTAGGGATCTAAATTCAAATTGACAATCCTATGAAGAATACATTAGGAGAGTTAGAGTCATATCGATTTGGGATATGGAGATGCTTTCGTTAAGGAAAGTCCCAATTCAAATAATGATTTGACGTGAGGCCATCGATGCCTCACCATTATACTGAGGTGAGATGATTGAAGATGTGGTTTGAATGGATGGTCTTTTTATATCATCTGGGGAGAGCGAAGGGGAGAAGAGAGAAAGTAGTGCGGAGGTGAGGAGTATTACTGGTATGGCAAAAATAGAAGGGTGAAAACCATGGTATAAGTTGGAGAAAGACCCTTGGGGTAGTTGTGGAGAGTAAGACTGAAGGTGTAGGACATGGAAAATGGGACAAGTAGAATAATAATGGGATAGTCGCTGTAGACTTGCAATTAGAATGCAATAGAAAGGTGTGGATTCTGATTGTGGGATTTATGTATATTATCTCCACTCTTTGTCCTCTTCCCTCTTCCCTCTTTTATCAAGCTCTTGAATTTCTTATTGCCTCCTCCGGAGTCGGCTAGTTTTTCGGATTTGTTGTATTCTTTTTGATGGCTTTCAAGCAATTGTTATATGTTTTGCACACACTGTAATGTTTACTCGCTCCAGCTTCCGGTAATTAACCGAGCCTTTACGTGAATTTTTGGTTTGTTTTACTCTTCCTTCAGTCCTTCTTGACTTCTATTATATGTTTGTGTTGGAAGTTTCCTTTTTCCTCTTAAGGTGCATAATTTTTCCCCTCGGGGCTGCTTCTCTTCTTTTCGATTATGAAGAATAGAGCAGGAGGTATATATTGCACACCCCATCTGGGGTCTGGAATATTACATCCGCTTGATAATAGCTGTTTCTACCCATATTTCTAATTTCCACTTCAGGTATATCGATTCTTCCACTCAAGGATTTGAATGCAACCAACGGGCACTAGTACACTTCGTCTTCGAAGTCCATTCCCTTATTCTCTCCAAACTCCATCCTGATATATACTCATAATCATCTTCGTTCTTGGGTAATCGTTTCCCACCAATTCGGATCGTGTGGGATAATGCGCAGGTAGAGTTGTGAGAAACGAATTGGAAACATAGTTTGTCTGCGACACAGGCTGCTTTGCATTGTGAAAAAGATACTGGGGTACCTTTGTTGTGATATATTTTCCAGCCTTCGTCTATGTTTTCCCAATTGTTCATCTGGGGGATTAGTTGAGGGGCGATGTACTCGAATAGGTCTTTGAAGAGGAATGGTTGCTGTGTGGATTTATTTAGTAAGGTGTGGACTTTGAATGGGGGTGTTGGAAATGTGTTCATATAGGTATTTCTCATATGAGTAGGAGAGTTTCAGAGTTCATAATGTATTCTATTTTCATTACTTGTTCGGGATGTAAGGGGGTAAAACAAAATTTATATACCATGCTCCTTGTGCGGGCTTTCCAATTTTCGATCCATAGCCATAAGTCTTCCATATCTGTCCCAGCGAGGTGATGCAATGAAAGTACTGGTTCACACCAGATTTCGCTCCCAAAGCCAACAGTTGATGGTGCCTCTCCATTAAACATTGGCCAGTAGCCTTTCAGCGTGATGCCTATCTTCTTTAGTGCTTTTGCAAGAGCCTCGTCACCACAACACAAGGCCGTTGTGTTGACACCGAATTGACTATACATCGCCTCTCTATCTCTTTCCATATCATGCAAATTAAGTGACTCCAAAGCACTATATGAGAGAACATATGCACTACCACCATGAGCAAATGGTGCTTTAGGATCAGCCCAGACAGGACTTCCCATGTATAGTTTCTTCTGGGGATCCGAATTCTCCAATAATACAAAAAGATTATCCCATTCGACAAAAGTGTCTGTATCAATGAACACATACCATTTTCTTCTTGGAAGCGTGCTGTTAGTTTCTCCCAACATTTTCCAAATCTTCCGCTTTATAGCCATATTCTTGTACTTAGCCAATTTCCATCCACCTTCAAGCTCCCTGGTATCTTTACTCAGTCGTTGATACCTCTGCAACTCGTCATAAAAAGCGAATTCAGGGTAATCCTTTCGTTCTCGTATCGAAATATCCGCTAACGCATCATGAACATGAAAAGACCTGACCTCTTCTTCTAAATCTGAAAAGATCAAAATATTCTGACGAGGAACCTCAGACATCATAGTCGCAAGTTGGTACTGAAGCCTACTTTGGGGTTCCGAGCCACCGGTTTCTATCACGATTTGCACATCAGGTGCGATGGAGGCTCGCGACGCCGTACATGTTTTGCTAAATGGGCTAAATGGGGAGAATTCGTGACAGCTGCGATCCCAGGCCCAGGTATCGAAGCGGCGTTTGGGGAAATTGGGGAGGGGGATTCTAGTTGCGAGGAGGAAGGTGAGGAGGATACATAGGGTGGTTTTGAGGAACTTGTATCTTCGGGAGCGTATTGGGTTGCGAAGAATCATTGTTGGATACTGGGATGGCTGTAGGAGATGTGAGTTTTTTCGACACGACTAGAGCTGATGAGTTTTATTCATTGTGAGGGCAAAGAAGAGGAGGAGAAGCGCATTCGATGCTTAAAGTGTATGGAGGTAGCCATGGTCTGTCTGTATACAACACGAGAGAAACATTATCGAATCTAGCGTACACCCGACAATTTGGGTCGTAAGTGGTGGTTGTCATTAATAATCATCAATTTCTCACTGATCAACCATCCAATCTTTCAATACACAGCGCAAATAACACTCCGTCGTGAGAATCATTTTCCAAAATCTGACTGTGCCGCTAATATAGACAAGGCCACGAGCGGGGCGAAACAGGCAGTATTTTGCTCGCCGTGCCAAGATAGGCAGTCCGCCGAGATGCATAGTTGTGTGATCCTTGCAACATATCATACTTCGTACATATCTTGGAGGTCTGTTATTTTCCTCTTGTGCTTTCTGGGATTGTTCGATTTGATCCATTTTTCTGGCTCGTCGTATTGGTGAGAAAGAGTTCCACTTTTGAGGCCAAAGAATTTACTCCGTACATGGTTATCGAAATTACCCCATCAGAAGAGAGAAGAGAATCCATCAGCCCTATAGGGGGTTTGAAGTTAGTTTGTTTTTCTCCCAGATGAAGCTTTTTGATGGATATATATATATATATCAAATACTTAAAATGATAGCCAACAATACTGATCTATTGAACGTGATACCTAGTAAAAATAAGGCATCGAAGTACGAATGATTTTTTAGAAAAAAACGTGAGATTGTTATCCGGACAATACAGACATACAATTTCCCCAAAGACAGAGTAGTATTCTCTAAACAGTCAACTCCGTTGATCTTCCTCGTACTCGCTAAATACCTAATACTAGTGCTGACATGAGGCATTTAAAAACTGATATTCTTACTCGCAAATTTGAAGGCTGTGTCTGAATGCATTGCGATGGTAAGTTGAGGTATTCTGAGTGATTGTTGAAGGGTTTCCGGATGCTGTTTCCGAAGATGTGGGTTTGGAATTCTTTGGATGTGGGATGTCAGCACATGGTATGGTAAGTGGTTTTGGGGGTGAAAGAGAGTCGATATGCATTATGAGGTCATCGTATCGGTTTTATTGGTAGGGTACTTTAATAATCTTGTCATTCCGTGTACTAATGGGTAGTAGAACCCTATTCGCGAGGGGTTAAGCGAGGAGTTTACTCCTCGTGAAGTATGAATCACTCATGTTCGTAAAATCACAATCAATTCTCTAATATTATGTGTTACAGCATCTCTTTATCATTGAAAAGGTATTTCAGAGGTCACTTTATATGTGTCATACAGCTTGCATATTTCATATAAATGGTTTTTCTTGACTTCAGTATTGTTACTACTTTTCTATCGATTCTTGATTTTAAATATGTACCATGGAGAGTATATCCGTGAGTTTCTTCGGTGTGCTTAATTGAGAGAAGAAGGAAATCAAAAGTTCAGAGATGATACACCAGTGGTACATTCATCTGAGGAGTTAAGAGAATATTTTAGATATGCTCGAGGTGTTAATACAATCTTCTTCTGTTAGGCAGAATTAGAATGTATAATTTTAGAATTCAGTGGTTCTAATGTTACATAGAGTATAATCCTGGCTAGATTGTGAGTTTCAAAAGCTGTTCAAACTTTGGATCTATCAAGAACTTGGTACGATTTGCTCTGCTACTATTAAGTTCTATGAATTAAGACAAAGCTCGAAAGAATTGGAAATCAAAAGCCCTCTAATGGCCAGTTGTTAAAAAATGATTGGTTGTACCATTGGTGAATTCGATGTGTTTCTGCCGCACATATTTGGTCACCGAACTCGATAGAAATTTATTAAATATAATAAAACCCTTTCCAACGAATTTGCAATATTGTCACAAAATCCAAACACCATCAAATGTCTGATAGACTCTTACCAAGCTACGGACAATATCACAACAAATTCCTCGATCGTGCTTTCAACGGCTGTACACCAATACCTACAGCTACTTTTTGATATCATTTCTCGCGGCGATTCACTGCATGATCCAGTTACCATGGATATCTTGAATTACTCAGACTATAACCAGACCGGACTTATAGATGAAACGAACTCATCTCATCCAATAAAACTTTCACTCAAGATCTTCTTTTCCATATTTGTATTCCTCCTCGACATAAATTCTCCAACGCTGTATCCCGTTATCAACGCCTGCTCTCTCCTGCTCTATGTATACATGGAGTTCACGAGTCCAACATACGGCACGGCTTTTCCCAGGCCTCCTGAAATCGAGCAAAATTCGACCAAGTTCCTTCGACACATCCTATTCACAATCGACTCCTCATTGAAATTTATCGATTCACAGGCTCCGGAACAGAGAGTGTTGTCTGGTTTAATGGTTGTCTATAATGGTGTCAATGCGTACTATTATGGTCGGAGAAAGGACAACGTTGAGAATGGATCCGTGGAAGTGCTAGAAGTGGGAAAGAGCACGATGAATGTGGAGGATCAAGAGATGGAGATGAAGATGGAAGTTCTGGTACCAGGGAGATATAACATGGGGGTAAATGTGAACTTGGAAGCCTGATGGATGATGAGGGGCGAGATTGAAGAGATAAACTTGGAACTACGAACGTTGGAAACTCGAAGGTGTAACATATTTGCTTATTTTTATCGTTAAACGCTACCATGGTATCGACTGACTAATCGTTAGGATAGATTTGAAAGTTGGATATATTGGAACTCGCATGGGCTGCCATGCCAATCTGTTATCATTATTTTAAGAAACGTTAGCTTGGTCTAGATTTGGTTTTGAGAATTTGAAAACATCATGGGGGTCTCTTTCAATCGATTTCTTGCCTCTTGAGTCAGTGCTTGTGATTTTAAAAAGGCTAAACTGAAGTACTTGGAGAGAATAGTTGCAATGAAATAATAAGTGGTAGAATGTCAGCGAATATGAGAACATTAATGCAAAGCCTTGGTATGGTTGAAGGTCATGATGTGAATCTTCTTCAAGAATGTTCACGAAGCTATGAGAGTCAGGCATATACGTGTTCACAGACTTGGATGGAATAATCTAAGTTCAATCAATACTGTGAATGAAACCTTAACACGCTTTGATTAAAGCTCACTGGCTTACTTATTTAAAATCTTTTTGTGAACTTTGCCCTTATAAGCCTTTGCATAAAGAACTCCACAACATCTGCAACAAGAACAATCAAACTGCAGAAACTTTTGAACACAACCTCAAGAGCGACATGGACCAAAGAATATTTATCAACGTCACGAAAATCACCACATCGATTTTTGACAACATTTTCATGAATTTGAGAGCTCAACAAATGGCTTCGAATATCTCTTTCGAGGGCCAGATTCCCAAGACTCTCATTCGTGATACACAGCGTGATTCCGGTAGCAACGACAGCCTTAAAGTTTACTTCATTGCATTCTGCTTACTTGCAATGTTATTCGGGACTTTGTACGGCATTTACATGTGTATCATATTTATGACCGCAGCGGTGATAGTATGTCACCGAAGTTGTTTGAAGATCGAATTGAAGAAGACTGTTAAAAAAAGTGGACAAAATTGATAGGAAGATTCAGATGAAGGACATGGAGATCAAGATGAATAAAATGGAGATGAAGATTGATGATCTTGAGGGAAAGGTGGATGAGAAACTCACCCAAGAGCGACTTGATTATCAAAATGATATGATGAATTGGAAGACGCAGGCACAAAAGGAGAAAAATGACTTAGAGGTCGAAATTCCGAAGCTCCGGAATAAAATTGATCGACTTGAGCAAGAGTTGAAGGAGGTTCTCGTGTACAATATATGGAGGCGAGGGCGAAGATAATACAGTAGGTAAGATTACATGACCCTTTCCATTCAATTGATACCGATTAATTAAAGTACCACTAGGCAACCCCGAGATTTCGACACGAGATATTTCGACTCTTCTTTCTCCAGATAACCGACATTTGCTATGTTCAACAATCTCACGAACGATGCATATACGCTGAATATGCGCTTTGGCATATTTCTTTGGCCAGCCTGAGGACATGCGAGGATGGGTGGGCTTTGTGATGAAGTGGATATTATGATATCAGAGGCCTCAATGATGGATGAGTTGTATGTTGACAAGGCGTCTTCATTCGACTTTTTTCAAGTAGTTCAATGAAATACTCCTGCTTTTCTTGCTACATTTACAATGTCTTCGTATAATTTCGTACAATGAAAAGGTGCTGCGCAGAAGTTTGACCGGCGCTTGCCCTTTGCTGAGAAACATACGTATCGATAGTCTCGATTCGATGATTCGGCAATATCACCTTGGAAAGATGTTCTCCATTTGTCGGATAAAACCCTATTTCTAGGTGCCAACTACCTAGTCATCTTCAAACTCGCCTAGCTTTCTGGAATGCTGAGCTACTCTACCGAGTCCAATACAAGCTTTTAGCATTGACTTCTATGCTATTTACGTAGGTAATGCTAGAACATGTCCAGAAGTGAAAACGCTAGAATAAAAGCGCAAAGTAACATTCAATACAAAATAGCGGGTTCTCCGGACGCTTTCCAGATTGATTTGGATCTGCGGGTGTATGAGCTGTTCTGTTGGATTGTCTAGACAAGGAAGTCTCAGTTTGAACGGTTGATGTCCGATTAGCTTTAGAATAGAACGAGCGTTCTTAGTCATTATTTAGTAATTGATTCATGACAGCTACCTAATAAGTAATTAGTAAGTCGATGATATCCGAACACTCGTGACTTTAACCGAGCTTGAGACAAGCCAAGATCTGGGGAAAAGTTAATGTTACCTCGGTGTTTCGGCTTTGCAGAAAGTTGAGTGGTCCCTTCTCCACAAAGGCGCTGTGATGGATGAGCCAACCCTGATACCGCATATCTCCAGCCAACTATATTATTGATCGGTAATGTATTTAGGTAGGTGAGTTTTCCTGGCTTTCCTCCACTCTGCTTTGATTCCTACATACCATTTTGTTCAAAAGATACCTCTGAATAGTTCATTACTTTGTTGTTTCCTACAATTGACACCTCACCGACATATCCTGTAATACAAACAAAAACAAAACATGCCTACTGCATCAACATACCCCCTATTAGATATCCCACAGGTGGATCTATGGGAGTTCCTTTTCGAACGAAAAGATAGGGAATATCCTGATGATAAAGGTATCGATTACGTTCTACAGCACTAATTACTATTTTGAGAAACCAGCCTTCAAAGATCAATGACTAACTGTTTGCTTTTCTAGCAATTTACACGGATGCCGAGACGTCACGGTCGTATAATTACAAGCAACTGCGTGATACTGCGATAGAGTTTGGAAAAGGTCTAAAAGCTGTTTGGGAATGGAAGAAGGGCGATGTACTTGCACTTTACACACCAAATTGTATCGACACTCCTGCGATTCTCTGGGGAACGCATTGGGCCGGCGGAATAGTCTCTCCCGCGAATCCCGGATACACTGTCGACGAATTGACCTTTCAATTGAAGGATTCCGGTGCAAAGGGAATTGTTACACAGAAGCCATTCCTAAAAGAAGCACAAGCAGCTGCTAAAAATGCCGGTATACCCGAAGATAGGATAATTCTGGTGGGTGATGGAAGGGATGAGACACACCGATTTAAGCACTTCACGAACGTGCGAAATTTGGCGGGAACATCGAGATATAGGAGGACGAAGAGTAAGCCAGAGGATTTAGCATTCTTGGTTTACAGTAGTGGCACGACTGGTCACCCGAAAGGAGTCATGCTTACGCATGGAAACATTGTTGCAAATACCTCCATGGGAAATGCAGCTGAAGGGGGCAACTTAAGTTGGAAAGGCGGGAAGGATGGCAAAGGAGACAAACTTTTGGCCGTTCTCCCCTTTTTCCACATCTATGTAAGTCACTTCGCTACTGCAAGCCTTCCGGTTTTGCTAACTATCTTCAGGGGTTGACGTGCATTATTCACTTCTCTCTCTATATGGGTTTGGAGTGCATTGTAATGGAGAAATTCGAGTTGGATAAATTTTGTCAAACAATACAGAACCATGGGGTCACGTTTGCTTACGTGGTTCCCCCTATTGTTCTCATGCTTGGAAAGAGCCCAGTAGTTTCTAAATATGATCTTTCTTCCATTAGGATGATGAGCTCAGGTGCGGCGCCTTTGACACGAGAACTTGTTGATGCTGTATATGCTCGTCTCAAGATACCAATCAAGCAAGGTTATGGTCTTAGCGAAACAAGTCCTACCACTCATATTCAGCCTTGGGAAGATTGGGATAAATATCCAGGTTCTGTCGGACGTCTACTACCAAACCAAGTAGCAAAGTATATGAACTCCGAAGAAAAGGAGGTTCCTGCAGGACAGACTGGTGAGCTGTGGATTAAGGGCCCTAATGTTTTCAAAGGCTATCTGAAGAATCCCGAGGGTACCAAGAACGCGTTAACAGAGGATGGATATTTCAAAACTGGAGATGTGGGACATCAGGATAAAGATGGCAATTTTTATATCACCGATCGAGTCAAGGAATTGATCAAGTACAAAGGTTTCCAAGTACCACCGGCAGAGTTAGAAGGTCTCCTCATCTCTCACGAAGACATAGACGATGTTGCAGTGATTGGTATCTACAATGAAGAACAAGCAACAGAAGTACCGAGAGCTTATGTTGTTCCAAGGAAAGGAGTTGCGGGCAATAAAGAAGAGGAAAAGAAGATCATGGCATGGTTGCAAGCGAAGGTCGCGAGTCATAAGAGGTTAAGGGGCGGAGTCAAATTTGTGGATGTAATTCCTAAGAGTCCGAGTGGAAAGATTCTGAGAAGACTTTTGAAGGATCAGGCATTGAAAGAAGGGGAAAAGGCGAAGTTGTAGAATGGGATCACATGCATGTAGGTATTGAAACTTTTAGACTTTTCTTCTGTGGGAAATATTGTATGATTCAGATATCTATCTCGAGATATCTGATTTGCTTTTTATCATTTCTATTTGTTCTCACATCGGGATGTAATAATATGAGACTTCCCGAAATCCGGGCACGTGCCGGGGTCGGCTTGAGGTCGGGCAGTAAAATCGGAATCTCGGTGGTGCGGCCGCGTCATAATTTAATTCTATCAACCACAATTGATTATTCATGAGGCTCACGACTTGTGAATTTGGTCAAAATAGTAATTGTTTGCTCGACGAAAACATGGCAATCATTCGTTCTCCAGCAATCCGTCGCATCATCTCGGGTGCGCCACCTTATCTGCGAGCTTCGCAAAGAAGATGGGCACAAGTTCATGATGTCCGGTTCTTGGCCACTCAGCAATCAGACCGAGTGCTGGAAAAGTACAGGGAGAAGCTTGAACAAAAAGCCAGAGAGTGAGAAGCTGAAATTCAGTAGATAGTATGCCTATAGCTTATAAAACTTATAGGGAAGGTCTGCGAGACGCCAATGAACTAAAAGAAGCCTACAAATCCAAAATCGAAGAGCTGAAAAAGAAAGCTACCGTTGCTATTCCTACTCCTACGAATGCCCCTCCCACCCCACCACCATCTCCAACTACTTCGTCACCTTTTCCTGCACCTCCACCACCGCCTCAAGCCCCATCCGAGAAAGCTTCTTCTTCTTCAACTCCTGGGCTGAAGACTTTATCCTCATACCTGGACCTCGAGAAGGTCCGCGATTTACCACAAGAAAAGATTGAGGCACTCTGGCGATTCCGACATGCCAGCGATCCCAGATCATTGTGCGCAGTCATCCCCCTAGATACATATAAAACGATTGAGAAGACCGCGAAGAAATTCCCTCACTTCATTCTGCCACTTCCAAAGGAGGGACAAGGTGCCGAAATCCATTTCTTACAATGGACTTTCCCGGCGGAGAATACCGTCACTGTCCTGTTCACACATCTTGCGGAATATAAATTGAGAGGAGAATACAGTCAAGCGCATACTACAATCACACATCATCTAGAATTAGAGAAAGAGAAAGGCTTGGTGCTGTTACAGGGTCAGGTCGTTGAAGGAAGAGGTGTCAGCGTCGATGAAGCGAAATGGTTGATTATGTGTTTACAGAAGTTTTATGGTCCGGTTGGAGAGAAGAGTGATAGACGTCGATTATTAGAGATGTTTGGAAGAGGTGATCCGGCTTTCAAAGTAGAGGATTTGGTCGAGGAAGCCGAGAAAATTATATAGAAGTCTCCAGATGTTAACGAATTGTACGATACGAACAGACGACTTGAGATGTGATCTGGGGCTGGAGTTTGGCTCATTCTTGTAAGCATGTAATAATTCTTCTCTCCGATAATAAGTGTCACAGTGTGTGGAATAGAATGTACTGAGTTTGCAAGTTCCGAAGGAAGAGGATGACCATGCGGAAGCTTAATCTGTTTCTCACACTTGCTCGAATGGAACACGGCATTTCACAATCATCGGACATTAAATCAACACTGCAGCATGCAATGCTACTTCAGAAATATCACAAAATGATCATACATGTCAGGAGGCGGCCATAGTCTGTTCCGTATTTTCGACTGGTGGATTCGAATGACCCGTTTTCGAACTCCTCAAGTGATAATGCAGCATTGCCGACGTCTCATCGGCTATATTATAACATATCGAGCACCACGGCGGATTCAATGAAGTTTAAACATCGCCAAATCATGTATCGGTAGGAAAATATTATTTTGATCTTGAATTTAGTCTATACAATTGTCCCATATCTCTCACAATCATATCAAATTCTGCAAAACGAATGCTAAAACAGACTAGAAGGTCCTCCCTCATCGAGATTTCTGACCCTCCACCACTTACTTCATTTCCAATCCGCCATTCCGTAAGGGTTAGAATCACACACTGGGACTTTGACTTTACTCGTGTTAGCATTGGTGACATTGGCAACAACTTCATCAGGATCCACCACATAAAGAATCTCCGCTTCCTCTTCAAATGGTTCGTCGACCGGTCTCTCTACCGCAACAACCTCATCTCCATCGTCTCCATCAAGAGCAGGTGAGTATTTCTCAAGATAGTTATCAGTATAATATACTCTCGTATCAATAACCCCATCCCAATCCTCTTCCAACCAAACCACCGTCCAATCCGCAAATATCGGTTCCATCTCCAACTTATCCTCTTCTCGAAATAAAACTGCGCCGCATTCCTTCAACGATTTCTTGATCCGTATAATGTATCGCTCGATTCGGTGGTGAAAATTCGCGATGATCTCTTTGTCGAAACTGGGGTCGAGACAACCTAGAGTGTTCAAGAGTTCTTGGAAAGCGACGAACTTGCCGCGTGTTCCAGCTGCGTGGTTTACTCGCATCCAGATGGTGATAGCTTTTTTCTCTTTGGGCCCAAAGGGCTTGACAGGATCTCGAGGTGGGGATTTTGGTAGTGACGGATTTGTGGGATCGAATTCCTTGGTGATAAGTTCGGATTCCGGCTCGTCATCTGGATTGTCTGGTTGTATTTGACCATCGACAACATTGCTCTCTGCATCCTCGAGCTCTTTGAGAGACTTTTGTGCTCTTGACTTTGGTTGCGGAGCATTGATGGGTACAAATTGGTTTGTGCGAGGTGTTGGGTTTGCGATTGCCCTTGTGTTCGTCTTGGTCTTGGTCTTGATCATCGCCTCATCTATATCGTTTGATCGCTTCCGAATAGCAGCGACTTCTTTTTCTGCAATTTCGGATTTGCTGGACGCATCTTGTGCTGGTGGTGCGGGTGCTAATTGTGCTGGCTTTGCTGCTAATTTGCACAATTTAGGCTTTGGAGCAATAATTTTCCTCGCGGGAGGTACTGCGTCTGTCTTTATCTTTGTCTCTGGCTTGGTCTTGCTCGGTGTATTGTCCACGCAGGCGGAGGTTGTGGACTTGTCAGATTCTGGGCTAACAGGCGAAAGCTTGTTCTTTGCCTCTATAGAAAGACTGACTGATTGTTTTCCGGGCGCTTTGACAGACTTTTCCAATATCAATGGAGTCTCCTTGACCTCTGGTTTCTTCTTCTCCTTGTTCGGCGCGTCATCTACAGAGCCGGTTGTGGTAGGCTTCTGAGACTTAACCCTGGTTGGTGAACTTTTCTTCTTATCTTCTTTCTCTGAACGATCGAATGTTTGTTTTGGGGTCGCTTTTGAGGATACTTTGGCTGCTTTTGCACCTTGCTTGAGCGTGAGGATAATCTTCAACTTGGGTATTGGTTTGATAGCCTCGGTGTTGGTATTATCAGTTTCCGTTTTGCTCAATGTCTTCTCTGCAGGAATTGAGGTAGCGGACGTAGGAGACGCGCCATTGACACGAGTGCGTTTAGGTTGACGTGACTCTGCGGAAGAACTGACGGTTCGCTTTTTCGAAATCTTGGGAGGCATTTTATTTGTACAATAAAGTTGAATAATTTGATAAATTTGATTCAACTACTTTATTCTTTCGAATCGATGATAATAGAAATCAAATTCTGGTCGAAAAGGAGGAGTGTGTTGATATATGGAAGTCGTTGTAATTGAAAATTGCCCGGGTTATTCACAGGAGGGATAGCTACAAGAGGCTCTTATAAGAGATTTTAGAGATGGGGGTGGCAGGTTCAAGTTTTTACGGCATGGTAGATACGGCGACTTATGACGACGCTAGCGTGTGTTTTTTAAGATCACGAAATCCATTTTATTTTATTTTACGGTTGACCGTGGGCGGAACTGAAGGTGGTGGAAAGCGGTATGGGATGGGGTTGAGAAGTGAAGAGAAGAGAAGAGAAGTTGAAGTGAATCTTCGAGATGAAACGAGGTTATGTTCGATGCCTAGCCGAGTATGATGGATGTAGGCTGTAGGCGAAGGTGATAGTACGGTCATGTTTCTGTTCGGTTTCTGTGATGAACACTGTCGTCTTTAAGTTTTGATTTGAATATGGTGGCTGTTTGGGTTTGAAATGGTATTTGAAGTGATGGGTGTGTTTTGCTCAGTTTTGTAGAATTATATAGGCTGTGTGTATATTCTGAGCGGGCGGGATTAAAGTATTTCGTTTCATGCTCGGTCAATCTCATCTAATCTGCCACATGTTTTTCAAGACCATCAGTAGCTAGTGTTTTGGTGCTATCATCTAATATTCTTGGGCATATTTGCTTCACATTTCATATCCAACTTTTGTCATCGTCTCCTCATACAGTATATATGCCTTTTTTTTCGGGCCAATCTCTCCAAATAAGTGTCATCCTGTTAAATCTAAATGCTCGCAGAGGCGCTCGGTAATGCATGACGGAACATCAAGGTAAGGATAAGGATGTAAACGAGAATGAAGTCACTACACCAGGCAGCTAAGACCAACAGCTATGTACCTTTTATCTATTATTAGCATTAAGACTAATAAGCTAAAATTTTGTGATTGGAAAGCTCGCTGCTCTCTGAAGTTGCGTTTTTCATTACGGCATTTCTTCGCTACGATCTATGAGCGTATCTCGCTACGGCAAGACACTCGTTTGAATACATTTTCGATGCCATCATTTCGTATGATGTGAGATAATTTGATAATGCGAGTATCTTCTAATGAGGCTAAACTGCTAAAACTTTCTGCCAATCTAGATGTGGCCTGTATCCCACTCGGACTGACATGTAACAAAGGAAATTTAACGGGAGCTATATCCATCCTATGACAAGATTGAATGTGACAAGTTGTCACTATTCCGTAAAATATATACATAGTTTGCTAAGCCAAAACACTGGATGTCTCTATGAGCTCGACAATTGGCTGTGATATCTGGGGTTTAGACTGCTCGGTACCCAGTCAATGTAAGCCATTCGGGAAGATAATCAAATGCTCTATTGATGATATTTTGTTAGCTTCTGAATCATGCGGTGCGTATCTCATTCGCGTTATAGTAACATGCATTAGATAGATCGCAGACTCAAGCGCTGAAGTTTATCGATATCCCGTCAATCACAAGATTACAGAATCTATATAAGAGTTTAGGCCCCAGCTTATCGTATATTAAGCGAAAACACACCAAAAACCCTCATTTTGTAACGAACCTAACAAACGTTTAAAGATCAACCTTAGAATTAAAAGCTATAGAACTAAAGAGAGTATATTATAGAGCTATATATACGATCGGCTTGGAGCTTAATATTGTACTAGTCTGATCGGATGCGATTATATGTATATTATAATACTACCCCTTTCTTTTAAAGAATTCATTTCGAATTTATTTTAAATAAATAATCTAAGTATAAAATATAATCAATAAAATTCTTTTTCATTATTATTATTATCATTTTCTTTATTGATTTTTTATAAAATATTTTGAAAGGCTAGATGTATTATTATTAAATAAAAAGTGTTGATAGAAGTTTATGCTTTTTTTAAGTAATCTTTAAAATATTGATTGTTGATTATTTTATTTAGGTTCTTATTATTATTATTGTTATTATAGAAATCAATAGAAGTGAGTGTAATAATTAGAACAGGTTCTTTTCAATCTCAAGCGTTTTAATATAAATCAAATAGGTAGAATTATACCTAATAAAAAGCACTTTTATATTAAACATACTTGTTTTCTTTATATAATTGAGTTCTTTTAACAATAGAAAACTCAAGTGTTCTAGTATAAGGTGGGATTGGGGTACAATCGGCTTTATTCAAAAAAGTATCAAAAATATTAAGAATATTAAAATTACTAATATCCATTGAATTATAATTTTAAAAGTGAAATAGATTTTATAATAAATATAGAGTTTTACATTTATTAAAATGAAATAATATAGAAAATCTATTTGTTGTATATATAATTAATTATTATATAATCTGAATAAAGTTAGGATATAAATATGATAATAAAAACTATTAAGAAAAACGATTTTTAAGAATAGTATTGAATTTATTATAAAAGGTTGAAATCTTATTCAAATTAGATTAATTTTAATCTTTTGTTTTATAAAAAATTCTTTCAAATTTTGTAATATAAATATATAAAGAATTAATTCTTTATTTAAAATTAAATAGTTTATCTTCAACTTTTTATATTTTATTTAGATTATTGTAAATATATATAAATTGATTTAAGATTATTGTATAATTTAAGAAAATATTTTAACCAAAAAAGAAAGTTGAAATAATATCATAATTTATATATAAAATTTGAAATTGAAATAAATATAATAAAATTGAATAATAAAATTACTAATTACAATATTATTTATTTATAGTTTTGTTTGAATTAAGGATAATTATATATTAAATTTCTAAGAGTTATTATTAAACTTTTTGGGATTAGGGAGAAAGGATTTCAATTAAGAAAGTGTTTGAGTGGTAAAAATATACTTGAAGATTAGAGAGTATAAAAATAAGATTTTATTTTGTTAATAAATCATTTTATTATAAAGTTTTATAATTATAAGATTTATTGAATTATAATTTATAGTTAAAAAATTAAGGGTAAAAAAAGAAACAATATTTTTGAATAGTATTGTTACGGGAGCTGCCTCTAGGGTCACGTGGAAGTGTCTAGAGATCTCTCGAGGTGGTTTAGACTAGACTTCAAGTAGGAATTCAATAAGGTTGTAACTGGTTGCAATTCTCGTAACTATAGTAATGAAACTAATGATTGTTCTTGAGCACGAAGCTCTACATGTAAGGAAACCCTTTCCCTTATATAGACCTTTGCACTCTGCGATCCCATCGATCCCACTCACTGAGAGTAGTGGGCGTAGTGGGATCCCACTGATCCCATTGATAATAATCGGTGGGACTGATGGGATGGTCCATCACGTGATACTAGTCCCGTGAGTCTTGTCGTCCTGTCTTATTTCCTGTCCTAGTGTCCCCCGGTATACTGCAGCTGAATCACTGAGGCCTATAATACCATTATAGCCTATAAGTTGGTGATTTCTACAGCCTGTTACTAATCCGTTGTAACAGTGTGTGATAAACCGGGGCCTCAACTCTTACATAAATTCGATAGATTGAATACGTATTTTGACAAAAACAATAATTACTATAACTAAAGAGGTGTAAGAAGAGCAGGGTAAAAGATGATTTCATTGCAATTCTGCTGAGTAGTCATGGGTGTAATTTGAGCTATTCAAAAACATAAGGAACTTCCCATTGACGATTAGTAGGTCAATTCATACTGTCGGAAGCTACACTATACATTCACATCAAATTCTAGTTTCTCTATTGAAATTTATATGTAAATAAAGTGAATTCAGATACTGAGTTGCTCGCATTTTTGACCATGTGTAAAAAGCCAATAAAGAAACTTTGACACTATTGCAGCAACAAAAAACAAGCAAAACAACGCCTAAAGTCTCAGTTACAAGCGATCCTTATACCAGCCACTCTTTAGGTGGTTCCAAGTCCTCCAGTAATACATTTTCCCTCGCCAACCCAGGACAAATATAATTTCCAACAGTATCCGCTACCAATTTATTCTGGCACAGCCGAAACATCATTCCAGTTCTTGCTTGCAGTTCAACTGTTTTAGGTCGTAGTAGCGGCTCTTTCATACAACATTCCATGATCAAGGCTCTGAGCATTTGCGAATACGCATCTTTAATATCCTCTTCTTCAAGATAAGATGCATTGCTTACACCTCTTCCAAGCCTCTCATTGTACTTCACCATGAAACCTTCGGAGGGCATGAAAATAGATACTTGGGTGTCTAGTAGGCTTAGCATGATGAGTCCAACCTTGTAAATGTTAGAGCAAGTTCCGTGGCGGGGATGGTTGATGAGTATATTTATTCTTTGTTCCTGTTCGAGGTATTAGTTCTATTCATCTTGCTTTCAAAAACTCGATGTTGAAAGGTCTCACAGGAGGTCGACATGCTATAGCACCCCTCTCATGTCTATCTATCTTAGCAGTGTCATCGGTTTGAGACTCTATTCTTCTAATTTCCATTGCATCTCAGAAATCTCCAATCTGTCATTAACCACTTTGGTTAGTGCATCCAGCTTTGTTTTATTATACATATGCTTGTACATACCTTTATGACAGGGCAACGATTATGTACTTTATCGCAATATCCAATAAGTACTACAACATAATTTGTTATTAGTGTTCAACATCTCTAAGACGAATGCAGTATTTACCATTGCTTGTGATCATATCATAATGACCAATCTCATCTTTATCCCACCTTTCCTTGTTGAGATCTTCTGTTCCACGATCCAACACTGATACAGCTTGAGCCAAACAATAAAAAATCATTTTTATAGTTTCTATACTGCATAGGTAGATAATACCTAGGTGATAGCGCCCTTGATACTAAGGGAGGGGTGGAGAGACCTGCCTCTATTCTAAGTGCCGAGGATGATCAAAGGTAGAAAAAACGGGGGTTGAGAAAAAGAAACGTGACTCAGACAGGATCTTTGACAATAGGTGCAATACACGCCCCTAAATGAGTGTACTTGATATATTCTTTCACGACAAAAGCAACACATCAGCATTTGAGAATGAGGAGTTAATTGTCTGTGCCCTAAGCGTAAATCAGTATTGAAGTACAGGCCAATTTCCAGGATTAAGGTTAACAGTGAAACGAAAAGACATTGATAGTATCTATAATCTCTTATAGGAGATTGATGGAGCTGTATAATCCTCAACCTAATTGTCGCCAAGGGGGACCAATGGGAAAGAGATTCGTATCCACCCTCTGCTCTGGTCTAATCACATGGACGACACCCTCACTATCGTCCTTTAGAGATTTGGTGCATTTTTGGATATCTCCAGCTATTACCAGATGCCCAGTAGCGTTTATTGACTGTATCAACTAACAAATCAACGATCATATAAAATTTAAAAAGCCTATGGTCACCCATATCCTCATTTGTCAGAAGTTCTTTAGCAAGCCTCATTAAAAGACGCGAACTACACATCTTAACACGCGAACATTTAGATCTTTTTTTTTTCATTCTCCCTGCAGATCTTGATCTTTTAACGATTTTTTAACGAGTTAGTTGGCTCAGCTTCATTCGAGAATCGAAAAAAGATTTTATTATGAAGTGAAGTGAAGTGAAGTGAAGTTAGGTAATTAGAAACAAGAAGACTTGACCAATGGTACAAACAAACATGGCAATTCATCGACTTTATAGGGAGTAGCTCAAAACGATCCTCCCGGATAAATTGAGGTCTAGATCTTTAACTAGGTATATGAAAGCTCAGGGCTATCAAAGCCCTAATTTAGAGTGGACCTATGAGTAATTTTATGTGCGAACATAGAGACAGCTGAAGGGCTGTCACTATTGTGGGCGATGGTTTCATAAATTTGGTGTCATGAGATTTGTAGCTTGTACACAAATCACGGCAGATAATAGTGACTGGTCAGCAATGTCCGAGATACATGCGTAGCATATGACTGATGTATCGAAATGGTGCATATTCGAGTGCTGTTCTGGTTACTATGAACTTTTAATTCCGATCGATCAATTGCAGATCCATTAGGATGGAATCACTGAGATTGGAATGGGTGTCTCTTTGCACGCCTAAAAAGGTATCTCAGGATGATTCTCGGGTAGGCATAATGATTGATTATCCAAATACCGTAGCCCTAACCAAACCGATCAATGATCCAGTCGCCCCATATCATCTGTGAAGTGACCATTATGAAAATTCAGAATTTGCTTTGATGTTCACGTCGTCGGCAGATAGTGAGGATAAATTTGTAGAATTCAAAACGGACTACTTCTCGTGCCGGATACCTTCGTACAAAGGATCTGCTTAAGCTCACAATCTCATTTCATAGTTTCTTGAACTCCAGTGTTTTGAGCCCCATTGTCTTGAAATCCAAGACTGTCTTGTAGCAGACCCCGTCCGAACTGTGAACATGGAAACCACAACGCCCAAAGGCATTCTTAACACCATTCAGGAGGATCACCAAAATTAACAAAAGGTGCTCTATGCATATAGATTGTCCGAAAAACGTCTGGGAAGACCTCCGGGCAAGTTTGAGAGAGCGGAAGGTACATTCCAAAATCTACCATGTTGTTGAAATCGAAGTGAATATTGAAAGCGAGCATAGCGGAGGCGTAAAGTCGGAGTTTACTTGTACTGTGAGTATTCTCGTATATATTTTGAGTCCGATCTGCACCAAAACCAAAATTGTTTTTCTCCCTATGAGCTAGCATGATTGCATCCATGAGCTTGTCCATCAATATCGGTAGGCAAATCTTTTCTGCTAGACAGTAAAGTTCTTACATGGGGCGAGTTGTGGTTTTGTCGGCATACGGAAGGGTACCGCGATAGAAATATTCGATAAGATCAGCACAGGTAGCAGGATCATCTTCAGGGAGACACATTTCTCCGTTGGCTGCCTCTTCAAAACCTTTGTTGAACCAGGCATTGAAGAATTCTGACTGGTCGCACAACACCTTTTTATGAACAATGTACTTCTTTCTCTTGGGTCCAACATATAAAATGACGGTTTCATTGAGTACCCTGATGTTAAAAGGTTAGTCATCAGTCAAATGAGAACAGTGCTATCATGCTAGCAAGCTAGAAGGAATAGAAATGGCTTACTCTGGAGTCATGAGCGGTGGCCTGGAAGGGGAGCTCATCGTGGCAATCGAGAGTGGATGTCCTAAGCCTTATTAGTGATAAGTTGATGAACTTGTTTGTTACAATTTGATCCTGTATACCTTTGTGAATCAATGAATATTCTCGAAAGGAAAAGTCATTCACGAGACTCTCTACCTCAAAACCTTCCAAATTGCGGATAACCTTTTGGTTGTAAAAGGTTGCAATATTTTACTTGAAGGGCGTATCCATCGGCTTTGGTTGACGGCGGCCTTGGAAATCGATTATCTTTTTGATAGAGAGTGGACTTTCGACATAATTCGCCTATATAGGAAAATAGCTATAGGTAGCCTTGTTCAAAAGTGAGATTCATCACCTCTACAAGTGAATACATCTAGGATTTTCGTCTGGTGAAATGTGTTTGCTTTTCCCAGGACTTCAAGAATCCAGGAAATTATTCACGCCGCCTTGGCAAAATGCTGAACCCTTGATCTGCGAGACTAAAATAATTCGGTTCGCGCTAGGTACCGGTGTTGGAGCTACCGAGATCTAACGACATGACGAGTTGAAAGACACGATGAACAAAAATGCAGCGATGCAGATCTTCAATCATGAACTACGAGAAATAGTGAAAGTTTGGTGAGATTTTTGAGATCTGAAGAAACTCTGCTAAGCCGAGAATGTTGAAGTTCCGGCGTTGTTCGACAACGACAGTTTGTGTTAGGACATTAGCTTTATGTTAATGATAGTCTATGGAAATGACTAGCTATATTCTAGGAAGATCTGTACACAATCGGCACTCTCCCCGCTTTTCCTATCAATACTTCTTTAAATATCTTGTCAAATTCGTCACTAGCTTAACCTTAATTGCTTAGTGATTGACCGAAATGGTGGAGTTTTTATATATTTCTTTCTCACCTCTATTATCTGCGGATACTTTGAGTGAAGCATAGCATTCAGTTTTGAAATCCCGCGATGATTCCCAGTAGACACTGCTACATTGTGCAATGGAAGGAAAAAATTGAGAGTCAGAAGTCCATGGATTCTGGACTCTAGACTCTAGAGATCAAAATCCGAAGACAAGCTTTCATTTAGCTTGAGTCTAGCATTTGAGTTCAACGACTTCATATTCTAGGATTCTCTAGACTGGATCTAATGCTCATAGTTCCAAGATTAGGCTCTGGGTCAATTTTACCATAATACGCTAGAAAATTTCTTATATGTACCTTGAGTGTCCCTTGTTCTTGAATCTCATTACAGTCTTTCCAAAATTCGATACCATTTTTGACATTTAGATATATCTTGACACTATCACTTTCAAACTCGTTACAATTTTTGAAGTTGCAACACAAGTTTAACTTCCATTTCTACAGAGATCTCGAGACCCTTAGCAAAGACAATAGCAATCAAAAACGTTTTCCCACTTCGTCAATACCCGCAGTCGACTAGGTCAAGTACGACAACATCTACCTCATAAAGACACTCCAGACTTGACCCTCGAGTGAGCACCTTCCAAAGACCAAACCAGCTAAACATGAAATACTAAGAATAGATTTCAGTACCATGAACGATAACTTGTTCACACCAATGCACCAGTTTGTCGTAATCGGCAAAGGTGGCATAAGGCTCAATTCCCATAGAGGCCTTCTCTGTGATCACTTCAAGTTCTTCAGTGCACATCGACTAAGACGTGAGCCTCTAGAAGTCCCAGCCATGACAGAGAAAATGTTTGATTCTCTAAGTCTATACTCACACTGTGGATCCCTAATTCGCTTTTCTGTCACGCCCCTCATTAGCAACGCCAGCCATACATTCCGCCGCCACACAGATCGAAAACTTTTCGAAGAACATGCTCAATATCTGCGCGACCTCTACTACGCCGTCGAGCTGATCGATGAAAAGCCACTTATGAACGAAATCGTGGACGAGATTCAAGACCTTCAAGCTGCCGCTTATTCTACTCTCTCTCCGCAAACAATCCAGGAAATCTACGCGAATACGAAACGATTCAGCCCCTTACGTCTGTATGCTCTCTTCATGCTTAAAATCGAAGTAGAGAAAGGTTCTCAGGCGGTTCAACTTTGTTCATATTATACGTGGTCGCAAACCTATCCATACTGGCCAGCTTACTACTATCCAGACTTTAATGATGATGAGTTCCGCCCAGACTATGAGTTTGCTTGTATGAAATGGGAAGCGGAGGGGAAGTTCGATCCTAGTATTATAGGTAGCAGATTTGGAGACCACGGTTGCGAATTTCATGAACATGATGACCCTGAAGAAATTGGAAAGTGCGGCCTACTGATGAATTTCTAGTAGATCAGAGCTGGCAAGAGTAGTTCAGATCAGTCTGCAGAGAATATAGTTTTTGCGTATCGTGCATTGGGAAAGGACTAGCATATGGATCGATATAAAGGAGTATTTGCATAAATGTGTAGGATAGATGCAGGGGCTAGGTAATTTTGTACTCTTCATGTCATCTATTAGAAGCGTTGTAGTTCCGGGAATAATAATATCAGATTTGAACTCACTTGCATGCCATTGAAAATCATTCGAGTCAAGATGCATGTTTGCCTATCAATTCCACGCTATGAAAGCCAGAAGATGTTCAGGTAAATCATCTACCCATAATATCAAATACATTGTATTGTATTTTATGGAGGAGGAAGCAGATATGTACCCCATAGCTCACTGCTACTACCTTTGATTCCCGTAGTTGCCTTTGAATTTTAAATATCCACTAGCGCCGCTTTACTTTGTACGTCGTCATTTGCTCCTTCCCTAACCGCCTCCGACTCCACAAACGCCGTTTATCAAACATGAGAACCCTCGATGCGTGCTCATGACAGTATCCAGTCGTCTTTGCTTTGTCTAAGCTTCTAGATCAGCTAATAAGTAACAAATCTCGTCATCTTCCGTACCATTGGTGGCTCCTAAACCAGATCCTGATCGACCATGGATATGAAATTGGCATGGATGAACACCTAGACCAAAAGCAGGAACAGGAACAGGACCACCATCAACAGAAATTCCTCCGTTCTCCAACTCCTCTCCCTTTATCTTGGTTTCCTTCGCATATTCTTGCTTGGCGTCGCGAATACGAGGATCAGTGCCCTTGGTGAGCTTGATGAGCATCTTCATGAATTCAGCAAAGAACTCATCACTATTCTTTATCAACCACTGGAATCCAGTCGTATCGAGACCTGGTACCATGGCAGAATAAAGAGCATTTGCGGCGCAGAATTTGCGAAGTGGAGACTCTGGCTTAGAGTGTTCAAGAATGTTTCTCACCAAACTAAATGTCAACAGAGTGGAACTAACAGCAAGACCATCTTGAATCGTGTCAATGATCTTGTTGAGAAAAGTGTTGTCCATCTCAAACATTTCCGCAAAGACATAGAGTTGGCAAAGCTCCAAGATTCGAGTACCTTGCTCAGCTTTAGACATGCGGCGACTGACGACTGGAATGCGACGAGTGTAGAGATACTCATTGAAGTATTTGAAAATAGCAGGACTTGTATCGTGGATGGAATACATTTGATTACGATCCAATGGACCACTTGTTCTCAACATCTTTTCGAATCGACGAGAAGAGGCGATTAACAAGTTCTTGTGGATGGAAAAGACCATGGTGCCGTGTATGTCGTCAGATGGTCCAACCTTCAACATAATTGTTTCCATTCCCATTGTGCTGCGCACGAAAAGTTAGATCAAAGGCAAAGACTGAGGCAAGAGTCGAATAAAGTTATACTAACTCTGTGAATAAGACGTCTGGCTCAAGCTTCATCAATGCTGTTGACTTCGATTGCGCGGCAGATCGATTGCTTTGACTGGCGCTTTGGGGTTTATTGGATGAAGCGTTTCCTGCAGATACTTTCCACTGCTTGGCAGCTTCTGGTGCGTATTTGTTAAGCTGATCAGTCATATTAGAATCGCTCAATGAGTTGCTCGAAGTGGACGGGATACTTACATTACCCATTGTGGAGGATGATCGAAGTAGGGACAAATGAATGTAGGCGCAAAACTACTTGGTAAGAATTGACTGTTGAACTCACTTTACTCGAACGAGCGATTGACGCGGTGGGTGGGTTTTTTGTTTCTTGCTGAGGGGAAAGCCACAAGTGGGAATAGGTGGAAAGAAGGAGGGGGAACAAGATGAAACGAGAAAGGGAATAAAGTGACTTCAAAATTCTCAGGTGGAAATCCGACGTCGTAAATTCTTTCATTCGTTGAAATAGCATACAAAGTGAATGGATTGAAAATTTATGCGAACGGCAAGGCTGGGCTTTGTGACTCTCATCTTAAGAAGAAAATCGATCCCCTCGAAATTCGTCTCTCGCCAAACTCTCTCCACCTCACAAGCCGCGACCACCTTGGTTGTGCGGATGAAATCTAGTTACTTTCTAAGATAAACGTACTGTAATTTTCATCGCATATTGCGGCATCTATATTAATTGATATGCAGGATTCGAAGATTGCCATTTCGACATCATTGTTCTGAAAATATGGGGTTTTCAGACGGCTTCAACCTCGGAAAGTAAGTTTAACATCAAAATTTCTCATAATGTGCCATTAATAACAACCTATAGATCTCTTGGCTATGAGCTAGTTACAATCATTGTGGGAAAGGAGAAGCGCAAGTTCGCTGTGCACAAGCAGCTTATATGCGAGTCCGTAACATATTTTCGTGGTGCGTTTTCGGCAGGAGGATTCAAAGAAAGTCAGGACTGCAGTATGGATATACCAGAGGATGATCCTGGGGTTTTTGAGTACTTCATGCATTGGTTGTACAGAGGAACAGTACCTGAAGCAAAAATTCTTGAGAACTTCGATCAGTTACTCGGTGTCTATATTTTCGCGGAGAAGCTATGCGTCAATGAGCTTGCGAACAAAGCTATCGATGCACTTCAAGCTATATCAAAATCCGATGACTTTGACCAGTTCCCGACTGCACCTTGAAGCATGCCGACAATATCTGGAAAAGCACATCTCCTACATCTCCATTACGGAAATGGTATATTCATGCCCTTGTCTATGATGCGTGGGACTTTGAGGCTTCTGTAGACAAAAATAAGAAGGTGTTTCCGTTGGACATGGCTCAACTAGTCACTCTGTGGGAGCTTTTCAAAGATCATCAGGATCTTTATGTGAGTTTCTTTACTCAAGTACAGAAGCATTCAGCAGAAAACCCTCCAGAATGTCAATTTGAGGAGGACAATTGGGATGATTGTTACTTTCACAGACATTCAGAGGGAGAAGTGTGCCATTTGAACACACCGGAAGTTAAACAGAATGAGGATTCTGAGGACGAGGCCGAGGCTTAAGCTTCTTCAAGAATACATTGACACGGCTTCATTCGAGTACAGAAGTTTAACTCAACCTTTGTAGAGCATTTGTACTGGCTAGAAGCATAAAATTACCGTTGAAGATGGAAAGATTATGGGCAGCTACTAAACAAAATATGAGATTCGCAGCTGGCAGACGGCGAGAGTTCTGAGACATAAAAGAATTAGCTTTCCCGTATCAATAGTCAGTTACGTAAGTTTCTATTACTTTGCTACAAGGGTTTACGGTGAAATCAAATGTGATTGTGATCTCAAATTGACATGATCGGCTTGTTTGGCTGGCTAGATAGTGAAGCGACGAACAGAAGACAGCACCTTTGAAGGGCTGCATGAATACGAGCGTCTAACTTTTCTCCAGTTATAGCTTCTAATCATGACAGTAAGACCAAAGTTACGTATATATTTCACATAATCGAGGGTTTCCCCTATGTTTTGAATCTGTAGATATGGTAGATTATGAGTTAAGAGGTTTTGCTGATGCTACCACCTTCTATATCCAATTACCAGGGCTATCAACTGATTTCCAACACCAAAAACAGTATTCTCATGTATCAGCTTTCGATGTTTGATAATCCTATGGGCCATTCTAAAAAGTGTAACGATTCGAACACTCTTCAGCATCTTTTACACCAAGTCAACTTATTCGCTTGGTTCGCCAATTCCACCCCCCGCATCCGAATAACTTCAATTGGTCAGAAATTAACAAGCATTTTGACCACTGAACCTTTCTCAATTGCAAATAAACAGAGATTGTGACACTTTCGATATCTATATTCACGTGAGAAGGTTATCAAATCCAAGCAGCGGAGCTAGATACAAACTAGTGATGACTTTCTCCTCAGTGACCATACTAGGTCTTGATTACTCTAGACTAAAGACACTAGCGTCAAATTATCTAATTCATCAGCTAGAATATCGAACGAAGCCACCATACATGTTTTTTTCGGAGTGATCTCCTATCACAAATGTAGTAATGCTTTCAAATGTCATTTTACTTATGATATCTAGCTATTTGCTAGCCAAATCCAAGGCCCTAGGCTTACTAGTTGAAAGACTTCACGCATATATAGCCTTACCTATTGCTGGAGTATATATTCATTCATCGCCACCCTGGTAGAAGTTATCTTGTACATTACAGATTGCTCGACGGATACACACAGAGATATACTTTACATATCCGTTCTCATCTTGGATATATCTACCTATATTTATATTTTTATACAATATACCTCTATTTCATCATTCTAAACAGCAAAATAAAACTTTCGAATTTCTAAACAAACAAAAATGTCTCCGCAACACGAATTCAAGATAGTGACTTCGAGGAAGTAAGTTTATTCTCCCAGAATACCCTTTACACCCGGACTCTGGTCCAACTTTTGAGCTCGCTTGAATATGCTAATGAATCAAATTAGAAAACGTTCTGATCCAGTAGTATTAGTTGTCGGCCCAGAGAAAGAAGTATTCGCAATCTCTCAAGCCCTTCTCGTCGACTCCATTGAATACTTCAGGATAGCCTTTCTCCATGGACACTTCAGAGAGGGCATAGAAAAGGAAATTTATTTAGAAGATGAGAAGCCCGAAGCCATTGAACTATTAGTTGGATGGCTTCAAAAGTCCAAAGTAAACCTCGACTTTACCAGCGAGACCTACAGGAATTTCTGGGAGCTTCGTATCACCGCAGACAAATGGTGTTCGGAAAAGCTTGCAAACGATGTTTCCGACATCATCTTAGCTCTTAGAGGATCACACATCCCCTTCGAACACCGAGAGGCATGGAAACTTTCTGGTGATGACACTTCTGCCATTTGGCGACTCTCGCTACCAAATTCGTCCATTAGAAAACTCTGCATCCAATGCTTAGCCTGGGAATTTCGCGAAGATTTGGATGATCCAAGGGATGGTACGGTGATTGGGCCCCTTATTGTCAACAGACTGCGTGATATTGTCGACATGCCTGATTACATCGCCAAGGATATCCAAGCCGATTTCGACCCTAGCAAACCCTGCGATTTCCAATACAAATACAATACCTCTTGGCATGAGAAAAGAGTTCGGGACCGTTGTGACTTTCACGATCATCGTGATGGGCAAAGGAAATATGGAGAGGTAAAATATAGCGTTGATACCGTTGATGTATTGGATATGGCTGGATTTCTCATCAGAAAGCCCAGAGTTAACCAGGCTTGGAATGATGGGGGAAAGAAGTCATTAATAGCATTTTCGACCATGGAATTTTTCGACCGTTTCTTATCACAATAGATTCAAGTACTGTAAAAGAAGGAAGGTCGAGATCACGCGCATCCTGGTCGTAGGTTCTGAGGAAATTGAAGAAAGGAGGAGCATAGAGGCCTGGACAAATGTATTTATAACATGTCAGACTGCAGACAATATCTTGAGTGGAAACAACAATGTATATAGATATATTTTTTCAATCTCGAAAAGATGAGTATGTGTATCTAGTTGATTTCAGTGATCTGATTGCACAACGTAACTATTATAGAGAATCCGTCCGAGCTCCAGCGCTTTCGCAGTATCGAGACAAGACAGTTGAAGCATTTCATGCAGTCCCTCTAAGCGAGGATGGGTGAACTTCCAAATCCCCTTCGGTTTCAACCTCACTTTCAATTTTCTTTTCCGAACGCCAAACAACCACGGATTGAATAATCAACTCGACAATTCACCAATATATGATCTCTTCTGATAAGACCGTTGGCGTAAAAGAAATTATACAATCTGGATTTCCTTCGATTATCGTCGCATGATTCGAAAGATAGTAAGAAACTCTGCCGATCTACCACATTTTAAGCATCAATGTCACCTTATAATTGTATGATTGATGTACCTGCTAATAGCTCATTGCAGACCTGGGACAATATTACATGCAAAGCGCAACACCATGAACTCTACGACTTTGACAGGTGCTCCAGCACCCGTTGTAAATCCGAGTTTTGGAGAGTGAGTGGACCCTTTGTACACAATAGCAATTGGAAACAATTGACAATCTCTCTCTAGCTCTCTCAGCCTTGAAATCGTTACACTCATGGTTGGACCGAAGAGAAAAGAGTTCACAGCACACAAGAAGCTTATGCGACTCATGCGATTACTTTAAGAAAGCTTTTTGTGGTCCATTCCTAGAAGGCACCGAGGGAAAGATCTATTTTCCAGAAGACAGCTTAGATGTGGTGGCACTCTTCATCGAATGGTTATATAGACGTACAGTGCCGTTCAATCAGACTCACGCACAATTCGATACATTTATAAAACTTTACCTGTTGTCGGAAAAATGGTGTTTTTATCAGTTGGGAAATGTGGTCATCAATGGCATCAAACATCAGTTCTGGCTATCAGACGAAAAGGCCAGCTATGTGAACCATTTACTTCCAGAAGTCGTCAATCATATCTGGAATCAGACGGAGGAAGATCCGCCATTGAGACTACTCTGCATCAAGAGATTGGCTTGGTTTTACCACGACGAGACAACACCTAACATCATTCCTGGTAGAGATTACTTGAAGCACCTCTGGGTTGTTTGTAAAGAGCATAGCAGCTTCTTCGAAGACTTCTTTGCGTATTTCCAGAATTTCACCAAGGATAAGAAGACACCAAATCCAGGTCGTGTAAGAGAGAATGGAAAATGGGTAGTCGAAATCTGTTCATATCATCGCCATGGTGAAGGAGAAGGATGCACAAAGCTAACCGAAGCAGACAAAGACAAAAAACAGAATGTCACATCAACGGATAAACTCTAAACTATCTGCATCAAACATAACTAGTGTTTGAAAATCTGAGAGCCGAAAACCTCGCAGGAATGACCATTCTTTGGCTACTTAGTTGGATATCGACTTATCGTTCTGGACAATTCCCTCCCCCCACCCAACCTGAATACACAGATGAACACCTAAATCCAGCCCATCCACTGCATTTACCTCTTATTCTCTGACTACTTCAACCTTCAACAGCGAAAGAAGATGAGATGACCCTCTTTAATCCAAATAAATGGTCCAGATTGCACTCGAGAATATGCACACAATGTTATCAAATCCGCGGAATCTCACTCGGATTATCCCAATCACAAGAAGATATATCTATAGTTTAATTCTCGATCTCAAAATATCTTAGAGTGAGAAAAGAATCAAAAATTAACATGACCATATGAGCGCTCCTGTGATTGTATCTGTGAATAGCATCAAACCCCAGGAGGATAATTGAAAGAAGGGGTCGGGAGTTGACAAAGCGAAGTATACATATCATCATACCCGTTCGCAACCTTTCAGAAAATCCCAGTTTCTCTCATCTTGTATTTCCGGGTGCTTGTGCGACCACGCTCGATATCTACTCAAGAGTCGCATAATAATAGTGATGAAATAAATAGAAGACTTAATACTATCGTACCGAGTATCTCATTATATATAAAAATGAGGAAGAAAAAAGTTAGGCAAGATCTAATAGAATTCGGCTCGCTCGCTCGCGCAGTATATGCGTACAATCTAAAAAGTATAAAATAGCGTTTAAGAATATTCCAACCTTCTCCACACCATCAAGAAACCAAGCAGGCGATCACACACAAAATAATTACATGACATCAGACCTCACCACAAAAGTCCATCCCACCCCCTCAAGCCCTTCTATACAACTCCCTTCTCCTCCCTCCCTCATCCATCACCACTCTCTCCCTCTCCGCAAATCTTCCCGCCGAACTTCGCGGTCTCCCGATCGATCCATTCTCATAAGGAAAACTCCCTCTCCTCCCGCCAAACTCCGAGGGTGATACTTTTTCCCTCTCCCATTCTCTCTCTCGATGAATATTCACTACACCCACTCCGCTTCCTCTCCTCGCTCCCGCTCCCTCCACAACTCTATACCCACTCGGCGTAATCGGTCTTCGATCATCCCAGCCCGTTCCCTCTACAGTCCGATATCCGCTCTGCACCGGTTCGGGGGTCCCACTCCCTCTACTCCCTCTTCTCGCAAACGAGCTCGGACTCGAAGACGCATGACGAGATGGGGTACCGCGTTCAATAATGCGATCTCTCTGGATATAGATTTCTTCTCTCTCACTCCTGTCTCTATCTCTCCCGCTCGAAACACTCTCTTTCCGACTCTTTCTTCTGGAGACGTGGATTGCGCTCGGACTGGAGCGGCCGTGGGAATGCGGCGGCCAGTGTTCTTCTTCGACTTTGATTAATTCGACTCGGCTTTCTTCGGGTGGGGTGGGCACGCGAGGAGGTGAGAGATCGCGGTATGAAGGGGCGGGGCTTTGGGGCATGATGGATGGTGAGGGTGGGGGTATGTGAGAATGATGTGAGGGGGGCGGCGCAACCGAGATGGGAGGCGGAGGATATCCTGGGGTATATCCTGGAGGAAATCCTGCCGAAGCCGGCGGGGGTGGTGGAGGAGGAGCAACGGATGCCGGAGGAGGAACAGGAGTAGCTGGTTTTGGGGTCGGCGGAACAGGAGTATGTGAACGGTGGATTTCCGTCATAGAGCTAGAGTGTCGATGGCTGAGTGGGCTGCGGTGAATCTCGGTCATGAAGGTTGAGTGTCGGTGGACTTCGGACATGGGGGTGGAAGGTCGGCGGTGGTGTTGTTTGATAACTGTTTCTGAGACGCGGGATACCGGGCGAGATGAGTGGGAACGTCTTTCGCGGATGATCTGGGTGGATTTATGGCGGGGGGCGCGACGATCGACAAAGACTATGTCTTCGTCTTTGGGGACTGTGAAGAGAGGTATGTTAACATGGGGGTGTTTGGAACAGTTGGAGTCAGAACTTTGATTGTAATCAAATGTATCTATCAACTTGGGATTTTAATAGAGAGATAATTGCTTACTACCGAATAAACACATTTTGTCTTCGTTTGTTGTATACTTTCTACGTCTCTTTGTTTGTGTATTTGAAGATATATTTTGTAAATAGATAAATTATTAAACACAGTCGTAAATAAATATCTCTTTCGAGGATATCCCAATATTAATCAATTAAATAATAAACTCAATCTGTTTCATATATTCTCCAAGAATAGAACTTCTTCTTCACCGACCGAGTACGTTCCTCTCTATATATATCCTCATCTCCACCCACCTACCCTTCACCACAAACATCTTCACTTAGCATCGAAGATCAAGGCGTAGACCCATCATGACGCTATGGACCTATAGCAATCCCACCCAATGATAATAAACGCATCATTTCTTCGCATGCAGGGCGCCCACCACCAATCCGCACACAGGACGCAGGCTCAATACGAAAATAGCAGGTCTCCAAGGAAAAGAAAATCCCAAACCCAGCCACGGTCACATGCACACGATAATCCCTACTCATTCTGACGCCTCCCCGCGGTAGCCCTACCTACCCAAGAAATGATTCGCCGAGAGCACTTCTCGCAGCTGCATTCTCCATGCGTCGAACCATCCAGGGTGATTCCAAGGAAGTTGATTGCAAAATCTAGAATCCAGGATACCGAATGCATAACTAAACTACCTGCCTAACTACATACCTCCCTACCTACCTACCTACCTATCAATTAACTATCCCGAGAATCCTAAGATAATCATCCAGAAACCCAAATCATCTGTCTTGATTTATCGTGCATGATCTTTCCTCTCCTCTTCTCATTCGTCGCATCTCTTCGCATCACACATCCAAGTGGCGTTGGGCGTATCCGGGCTAGGGATTCCCTGTCCATCACCGCCTCGTTGGCAGTGTGTGTGTTCGCCTTGCGCGCAAGGCCTGCGCGGACTAGACTGTTATCGTACCGTCATGTGATGCGTTTAGCTGGAATGGGAGCCCTGGTGGCGATCGCATCCACGCCGGCAATCTCGGGACTTTGCTTTTGCGTGGAAAGGCTCCGTTGGGCGTGGAGGCAGTGAAGATCGAGTGTACGGTCGATCGCTAATGCGTGAAGTTGCGTGGCATAGATTGTGTTTGGAGTGAGGATGGTCTAGATGGAAGATGGGATGTCAATGAGTGGAGTGGATGGGGGGGGGACTGGTCGAATTGATTGAGAGTAGTGGTTTTCATTGTTATTCTAGATTCGTGAAGAACAGTGATTGTTGTTACTTAGTGTTTTCACAGGTGTGAGCATAAGAGTTATATCAGAGATAAGATTGCATTGCGTGTGATTGGTGTGTTCATCGTCAACACCTCGACAAGGTCACCAATGACCACCCTACTGCAACCAAAATGAACGTCGATCCAAATCAAATCGGAGTATGCACTTTGTACTTCCGAGCGATATTTCTTTCATCCCAAGATGCTGTGAGCTGGTAACCTTAGTAACCTTACTAACCTTACTAACCCATCAAACAATTACCGAAAATCACCCGGTTCTACTTCAGCTGAACCCATCCATCCGACAAGCTGGGCCTTTGATTGAAAACTATCTTGGTAAGATTACATTTTCCTCCACAATTTCTACCTTACCTTACATGCTCGTTTAGATTTTGACATTTTCCACCTACGTAATATGACCTCTGATTCGGATAAACCCCTTTTGGTATCATTTTTCAATACAAACGACTTGGAATCTACATTTCTCCGAGGTTTTCTCTACGACCTTTCCAAATACAGATTGAACTCTTTTGCGCAAGATGAAATCTTCATAATACGAAGCGTCTACATCCATTTCTATCGTCGCTACTGTTCAGACCCAAGAAAGACAACGTAGAATGAAGTTTTTCGAATTTTAGTTTCTTTCACATCCTTGATCCAAGCTCATAATTCGTTCATATATAGGAACCACAGTTCAAGGATCTCGTAGAGAAGTTTGTCAAAGACAACCTTGGAATCCAACACAGAAGTCTTGGGAGTCTAAGGTTAACGCTCAACGCTTGGGGTACCCAAATTTGATAGGAGAAGTAGTTGACGTAGAGTTCAATGCTATCGCTATCGCTATCGCTCTCGGTTCACTTTGCAATCTTACCTTGAAATAGCCAGAGACATTCAGCACTGTTGTTTTCGGTGTGAGGGATAAGAAGGTCTCTAAACGAACATCGATCATAGATGGTTCTATTACCTTATTCATCTACTCCCTGGACATTACTACTATGAAGGTTTCTCGAATCATCAAATCCACATAAACTCATATTCATCCCTCTCACCCTCTCCAACCAACCCCCCAATCTCCTCCTTCACATCCTTCCATTCATCCCCAATATTCCCCCCGCCTCTCTCCCCCACTTGAGATTCTGGCTCATTGAAGGTATCTTCACGTCTACAATACTGTGGTTCTCGCGACTTTTCAGTGTCTTGATTTACAGCCTTTACTGTGGTGTTTTGATGTTGAATGATCGTTAAGGTTATCTACTCGAGTATACGATTTCCCTGCACTACTCATTTATTCGATTCGTTCTTCCTTCCCCCTTCTGCATCTTTCAAGCACTCAATAGCAACCGAATATAACTCACCCGATCTCATACTTTCATATACCGCTGTTACCATACTGCCGATGGATTGATATGAGTTAGGCGTATCGGGTAACCATTCCGAAAACTCGAGGTATTCTTCGTCAACGAAAGGGATGTGAAGCTCATTGCGTACATGACAATACATCCGCTCACCAGCTGTGCCCAAAAAGAACTGAGCAACCCCGGTTGAGTCGGAATATTGTCTCTTTGACACTTTGTGGGTGTAAATCATTTGCTTCGAGAATACTTTCGCCCAGTCTTTCAAAGCTTGCAGCATATCTAGACTGGGCTCCAACTTGTCAAGAATGACTGCCTGAAGCGACTGAACTGCATGTTCAAAGCGCGTGGTCGAGTCCATTATTGAGCTTCAATTGGTAATTGTTGTCAATTTATCCCAGAGGAGCAGTTGTAATTCGGAGATTTCCTTCATCTCCATGGTATCGTCGCATTGACCATGGCGCTCTTGGGTATATTTTCCAAGGCTCTCATTGAAAGAGCTCTCAAACTCAGGCCTCAAGTTCATGAAAAATAAATCCTGTATTCCTCTAAGATCAAGAGCTTGACATACAGCCACTAGATGCGCCGCGGAAAGCTGTGTCAGAACTTCCAAAGCCGATATCGTGTATCTACTCGAGATCAGTCCCAGAGAATTCACAGCTTGATTGCCCATTTCAGCCGTTTGAACATGCGACCCAACGGGGTTAGACAGAAAGCCAAGCTCAGATTGCAATGCCGCAATCATAATATCAATACCTTTAAACATCCAGGATTCGCTCGGCTCATCTGCCACCAGATTAGGAGGAAGGCCGTTGTTTGTTGCAGGATTTATCAACTCGGTACATCGTGCAAACAACATTTGACCAATTGACTGACAAGCTTGTCTAGTCTTCTCCACGGCACTTGTGATGGACTTTGCTTGGAAATTTCCACCATGTTGCATCTTTCCGTCATCACTAACGAGGGGATTATCAGTGGTGGAGTTTAACTCAATTGATATCTGCTCATAGGATAACAAAAGATCCTCTAGTGATGGACCGATCCACTGCGATGCAGTTCTAATAGAATAACGATCTTGACGTAGATGAAATTCTTGGGTATCATTTCGCTTTGTCAATTTAGAACCAGCCAAGAATGAATAAATGTTCTTCGCGGATACCGTTTGACCTCTATGGGGTCTGACCTCAGCAAAAAAAGGATCAAAGCTTTCGTCCGTACCAGCAAGCGCTTCAACAGACATAGCAGTAAGAATTTGTGAAAGCAGAGCTTGCATAATAGCTTCATGAATGGCTAAAGACGCAACGGCAGCTGTTACTGCTGTTCCATTGACCAACGACAATCCCTCTTTAGGTTGAAAAACTGCGGGGGAATATCAGCTTGCAATGCTTTGTCTGCGGAAACACGTTTTCGATCAAAACCAACATAAACCTGAATCACCGGCTTTCCTTCTAATGCTCCACCTATGTATGACAACGGACTAAGGTCACCGGAAGCAGATATGCTTCCCCGAAGTGGCACGGCTGGGATAATTTCCTTGTTTAGAAGATCGAACAGAGCTTGAACAATGACTAGTCGAATTGCAGAGGCTCCCTTAGCAAGCGTATTGCCACGAATGGCCATTGCTCCACGAACCCAGCTCTCTGGCATGGTGGTTGAGTAAACGGGATCAGACATAGGAATAGCCAGTCTTGCTATCTTCGCAGCTGTAGACTTCCTCCATTCAAAATCGCTCACCGAATCGTTTATTGCTAACTCTTCAACATGACGACTGCCTAAAGGGACAGGAATAACTCCGTAATGGAGCATTCGAAATAAGCTTGCAGATACTTCGGACACGTTCTTTGGTCGAACATCGGCGCTTCCACCAAAACCAGTATTTACACCTTCCCATGTATGAGCTTGCGTGGTGGTGCTTTTGCGTTTGCTCAAAATCGTGTGAACTCACCATAAATTGACTCGCCGCTTTGAATCCGTTTTTGCAAAGCCTCTGCGCTTTTGTTCATTTTGCCGGTTGCTCCTTCGCTGAGAGTGATTTTGCGACGGTATCTTCGAGACTTGTGTCAGTACCAACTGTCTCACACTTAGCGGTCAGAACTGACACTTACCTCGCGATGGCAACCAGGGTCGCTAGGTTCAAATTAGAGCCATCGGCTCTGATTGGCTCGAACCCAGAATCTTCATCTTCAATTGCACGTGAGAAGGCTTCCTAGTGTGACAAGATCATCCGATTGAAGCAATCCATCTTTGGTTCTTGATATTCGGCAGTTATACCTGTTTGGTTGGAAGAACCAATCTCCGGTGGCAAAGTCGTTTCATTATATGGAACCATCTCTGGTGTTAAGACTACTGATGGCGAGACTTTTCCATCAAAGGAATCCATTGGTAATGAGAGACTGTAAGAATGTTCCTGATCTTTCTGGTGGATATCCGAGTAGTGTAGTGCAAGACGTTAAACCTCACAGCAGAAGCCTTGATGCATTCGAAACAATGTGAGAGAACGACTTATCTTTAGATTATACATACTTTTTTATAGAGAAGCTAGATTCCTTTTGCGATACAACTCATCTGTCTTCATAGAATAGAACCAAGTATTAAGTTCCAACTAAACCATTGGCATTCAACTAGTTGAGCCCTAAATCTGAAGATGACTCTTCTTACCTACTCGAGTGACCAGAAAGTATACAGCTCAGCTGCTGTGAAAAACGGGTTAGTCCTTTTGTAGTTTACCATCTTGTGGTATATGCTTCTAACTTCAGAGTTGCATAGATTTTGACAGCACGATTAGATGCGTAGGTAGATCTCCTTCACTTCACACCGCTCTCGTCATCCTCTAAATTATCCGCATCGTGTAGAAAAGACATGAAGAAGAAATTAAGTTTGATCTAATGTAGAATTTGAAAGAAGATCGATAGATTGCAAGAAAACCATTGGGTAAATAGAATGTAATTGTAGTATGACAATGAAGTGATTTATCCGATGTGTATAATTTGAGGTAGGAAAAAGAATGACGCTTACTAATCTTGCATGTTGACTTTGGTAGACGCATTACCATGTCATATGTACCTAATTATATCAACATGAGCGTCCGTTTACAAAAGAAAAGTTCCCTGTCGTTGAAAATGATATCTTGGGAACACAGGTAGAGCGTTGAATAGCAGCATAAAATACTTATCACCGAGTCTCATAGCAGTCTTCCAATGAAAACGCCGTCAAGAATTGGTGAGATAGTTCCTCACATCCATCAAGGAAAGCGCCGACATAAGTACGCTGACAGCAAAAACCGCCAAAAGGCTGTATGAACAGCAGCGACTCATTTGTCGATGATATAGTTATTCACAATACGCAGTTAAAGTGTGGTTTCGTTGCCTTGATGGTTACATTTATCTTGTCAAGAGCGAATGACCGAGGTGACTTTTCCTCCTGCCCTGTCGATGTGCCTTATGTTATTGACTCGATATCAACAATGGCTGAGGATCAAATGATGTATCAACAATAGGTATGCCGGCAACTCAAGTACTAACTTGTCCGGAATTTCATACCAAAACAGCAAGTATTCGACCAATAGAATAAGAGGGAGCTACCCTGAGACATTCATTGTGTGTAAATTCATTCCTGTCGGTTGGCTGATATCCATCACGGCTTCCTGTAGTATGCTCTCTTTTGTTCTCTCCTTATATATTATTGCATCGTATAGTTGGAGCAATTTCATTAATATAGCATTGTTAGTAATGTGCATATAATTTCCGAAATCAGTGTATTCAAAAGTCACCAACGACTACTTGTCAATAAGCGCAAAAAATCCAGTGACAAGGCACCAAAAAAAACTTCAACTTAGCCAAGTGGCCGCCATCTTCGAAGCGAGAAACCCCTACAAAGTTACTTAAGCCATTGTACTCGAGGACTATTGCTATTTGATCGTTCTCGGGAAAACAAAGTAGGCTGCAGTTGGTCATCCATGAATCATACTCAAAAACCTTAAAAGCAATTAAGATATGACATTGATTCGCTACTTTCGGGCCTCCTGGGCAGATCTTCTTATAGAGGATGATATAGGGATTGGGTGGCGGTATCACACCATCTCTAACCTGACCTGTACCCCTTCATTGTATCCGAGGGAGACCAAAACATCCTGTGTTAGAAACAAGATAAGCGGATCGGGGATGCACACGAAATTTTAGAGTAAAACGCCCCGATATATGACTATCGTGAAGTTCGAGAACCATTGTGTAATATTGAATCTCTAGACTCATCAAAGAGCTTCAAGTATGGACTTGCACAGATATTCATGTGTTTCAATAAACATCATCAACCATTTATACAAGATATGCTTTCCATTTATATTGATCAGCTAGCTAATAGAAAGCCCAACTCCGGATTGACAACAATTTAGGACTGAGGATTAGCAAAATACCACCAATAAGCACCCTGCAATTTGCTCCCCTCGATATAATTCCTCTTGTTAAGTTTTTCATTGGGACCATGAGCCCCATCATCCGACATTCCTACTGGCAATAACATGATACTCTTCTCCCCCAATGCCTTTTGCAAATCAAGTGTTACTCCGATACTACAAATTCGTCACCCTGTCAGCCAAAAACTCTACATAAAGATCCAGAATACCACAACCAGCAAAGAACGTAAACTAACCTTCCACCCTCCCTCGTCAAATCAGGTTCAGTATGGTAAACTTTCTGCGTGGCCGCCTTTCCAGCCTTATAATTCGCATCATCAGGCGAAGCAAGCCAATACGGAGCTGTCTCTCCAAATTGTTTCGCTGTGCATGTATTTTTGCTTCCGAGTTTTTCAAACTCTTGGTAGAGATAATTGATGGTGAGATTGGAGACGGTTTCCTGATCCATGGACGGTACAGTGCGGATAGAAAATTTGGCGGTAACTTTGGGGTAGATGGCGGTGGTTTGGTCGGGGCTGGAATCTGCGCCTGCGATGCCATGCTAGAATGGGGGAAATGGTCATTTTCTAGTACGGAAGGGGAGTTGGATAACAAAAGCTGTGTAAATGTTCTGACAGACGTGAAAGATGAAAAGATTCGAATCTCAAATGGAAATAGATATTGAAAAGTACAAAATGAAAATCCTTGTTGAACTTACGATAGTAAGAGACGGATACCTAAACCTATGCATAAGAGTTTTCTTCGGATCATTATAGATATTCGCATCGCTTCCAATAATCTGTTGAAAGTCCCGCGTCGAAAACTCTATCGTAGCATATTCCTCCACCTCTTCGCTAGACACATCATCCACTAGTTCATTAATCCCCGGAATCAAAATTTTACCCTGAGAATCCACAAGTTTCGAAAGCAGAATCACTAGATCTGTCATGGGCTCATACACACAACCTCCAAACATTCCACTATGGAGTTGCACGCCTGCGTGTTCCACTGTGAGATTGAAATAATTGATACCGCGGAGTCCATATGTCAAGCATGGTTTCTTGGTCGTAAGCCAATAATTGTCAGAAATGCATGCAGCATCGACATGTTCAAAAAGAGAGCGGTTAGTGATTGCAAACTCTGCGAATCCGATGGATCCGGATTCTTCCATTCCTTCGAAACAGAATATCAGATTGACGGGGACATCGACCTTTGCTTCCTGATAGGCTTGGAGTGCGTTGAGCCAGCCTAGCACGGGTCCTTTGTCGTCGGTAGCTCCTCTCCCGTAGAGTTTCTTGTCTGCATCTTCGCCTTTTTCTGTGATGGTCCAGGGGTCGGTGTCCCACTTGAAGATTAGACGATCAGTACTGCCTATCGAAAAAGAATGTGAGAGAACAAAGAAGATGAATCAACGCGTTATTGGTAAACTTAAATAATTGCTTTACCAACATTCCCGAGCAGAATCAAAAATCAAGAACAGAGAACTCGATAAACAAATAAAACTTACCCCCTCTCCCGGAGGCTGAACATCATAGTGTCCATAAATCAAAATCGTCTTCTTCTTACTCTCATACACTTTTGGATATTTAGCAATAATGACATCCGGCAACTGAAGTTCTGTTTCTGGTTCCTTTCCCAGCGGATGTCGTTCTACAGATGCATTCAGCTTCGTGAGTTGATCTGCCAGAAACTCAGTCATCTAGTGCGCGTCAGGATACAAGCTTGTAATGTTTCTGTAAGCAGATGATAAATGGACAAGGATGTACATACAGCAACTACATGTTTGCGTCCCTCGATCGTTCGCTCGGAAGAGATCGAAGGGATCTTGATTGCGGGTACCAGTCCTAGATTGTAGTTAGAATATCTGTTCTTCCATTATACGCAACTCTCTTTTCTTGACTCACGATCATAGATAATGTTGAAATTGGGAGCGGTAGCAGTAGCAAGCTCATCAATTCTATATCACCCACAAAGGATTCAGCAGTTAGCAACGGATTCAAGAGTTGCCTCTTCTTAGATGCAAATACATACTTCTTGAAAACAAGTTCCAACTTATCGGTAGCCATGGTTAACTGTGTGGTAAAAGAATCTACACTTCTTAGTGAGAAACAAGAGATCTGAAAAGGAGAGCAAAGTATACCACGCTTTCGCAATCCCAACACCGAATAACAGATTTGCAATTTCCAAACCGACACTCACGCTTGGGCAAAGTACAAACCAAAAAACAATCACACTTAGGCCGATTTATTAATGAATTATATACACAACCTCATCACCATTCCACACCCAATCCTCTCACGACGTCACACCCATGTATGTATGTATCTCTTTACCCCAAAGTGCTACCACTGGATGCTTCCTTTCAATCCTAGATAATAGTTTTCAGCTGATATGGGACCTCCTCAACGTCATCCCACCACCCAAGTACCACTCAATTGACAACACATCTCCAAGTATGACCTCCAAGAAATGCGGGGGACTCCTCACAAATCAATCATCACTCATCACATCTCGCGCATCGCAATCGCAGATACAACCCCATCACACATTGGCGCTGTCGCACAGTATCTTCGCACCCAAATACACTAACACACATGTCGTGCTCTCAATTTATCACAACCGCGGGGTTCCTGCAAGTGGTTCCACAAACAGACAACGAGCTCGGTAGACGTAGCGAATCTAATCTTTGTGGAACTTACGCAATCGTGCTACTGTCGTACAGATATCCGTTCTCTTTTATGACAATGTGGCATTCAATGACGAGCTGAAACCTGGGGATTTGTGAACGATCGTGTATGTGTTTACACGAGAGGGGTTGTCATTGCAGATGCGGATTCAGCTTGGGTGAGGACTTTTTTATGCGATGTGATGTAAATTCATACGCAATCAATCATGAAAATGTATTCTTGCATGGTGGATTTTACAAATTGACGAAAAATATGCATCTCTGTCACCGAACACGCGGGCTCCGGAAATCAGAATCTCTGATGTCGAACTTTCCAGAGGACGGAATAAGCTGCTGTAGATCTTTTGGGAAGGTTGTAGAAAGATTCACTGTTTGAATGATTGCGACAAGCTATTGGAAATTTGACACTGGGTGAAGGGGGCAGTCATGACTCGAATATTCCAAAACGAGTTCCTGCACACGATCATTCCATTCTCAGCTTCCGGATTAACATTGCATGTGAAGATCATGCCGATGAGATAGCAAACAATTGGGTACTCGGAGTCGTTGGTAAGAAGTGGTGCGTGTAAAATTTGCTGGCTGTTAATGATCTCTTTTGTGAGATTAGCATCATACTCATCTGAGAAAATTGATGTGATCAGCAATATTTAACACGGCAAAAGGTAATTGGGGGACCATACTACTCCATGCTAGGGCTGGGTTAGCTGTTGGATCGGCTATTGCTTCTGCATTTTCGACTAAAGACGAGATACAGGGGTCTTGTTAGGATGGAAATCTAGACAATTGTGACAATTAAGTTACTGATTGGGAGAAGAAGCTTTAGATCTTGATGTAAAATATCCACGCTACTCCGTTCTAGATGGCAACTAGTGACCATAGACTGAACCAATTCCACAAAAGCCCAAAGCAAGAGAAAAAAAAACTCCGGGTTTTGATTTCCTTCCCCGATACTCGACTGAGGAGTAAAGCCATCGCTTCCGACACCGTAGATACATCCTCTCAAACTTTACACCACATATCTTGCACACTTGTGAACTGTGATACAGCATACACAGTACATGTACTTTAATATTCTCCATTGCCATACCCTCATCTCTTTCTATTCATTCCATGGGAAGATAATCCTCACCTGACAATCACACCACCAAAGCCCGTACCACACAACCTCCAAGATCTTATCATTCCATTACCTCTAATTCTCGGGTATCCAAATACCAAAGAGTTCCCACTCATCGACCAACCACCAGCCACACATACATACCACAAATGAACTAAAAACCTAAACATGATCTGACATCCACATATTCAATGCCCAAACTCATTTACAACCTCAAAGTTAGGCACGCACATTGTACACTGCTCAACAAGAAATCCAGAAATCCTACTCCAATTCAGATACACCCACGAAAACGCATCATGACGAAGCATATGGGTAGACCACTCTCATCTCTATATCGCCATTCACACCAAAACATGACTAGCCGACCCTCGGTTGCAAATCCATCCGCTGAAGAATCCTGCACAAAGACCGATTCAATGGCATACATGCATTTGAATTCCGCTCCATCCCAATCCCCAGAGATTGATTTGTCGTTTCTGCAAATCTTAAGCAGCGAAGATGCATTACACCGCATTATCGCATCTCACATTAAGACTTCGTGTAACCCGATTCATATTAGACAGACGAGTTATATCAGAGCTGATATGCACTGCTACCAATCGAGCATAAGTGACGACGCGAGATCACCGCAAGCGATTAAGGTTAAATGCGGATACGTCAGAAATTTCCCCGCATGCCACCTACGTCTCGAGACTTCCCTTCTGTTCTGGTGTACTCGCAATGCTGCAGATACGATTGGCTAGTAAAATTAGTTTGTCAGTGTTAATATAATAGACGTGCGGCGGATGCGGGTACTACCGCTTTTAGTGTTAGTGTTGTGACATTGTGTTTTAGTTCCTGATCAGCGGTGCTCGCGCTGCCAGAAATTATGCAGCTTCGACGCTAGTGAAAATTAGGCAGACCGAAAAATTACTTCTATTTCAAAATGCTTGATTAAAACAAATCATCAATATTTTTTATTGTGAAGTATATGAAAATATTGATAGGCTTGTAAAATATGATTCTCTTCATTTTCTTGACTTTATAATGTTATTGCATGCTGTTATTTGTCTACAAAATGACTGTGTCTTTAAAAGAGTTTCAACTTTAGCGAGTTTAGCGTGGCGAATATATCTCTAGCTTCAAAGATGCATACATTCTGGCAGCACAAACAAAAGACATTCTGAATTTATGTGGGTAGAAGATTTTTCTTGTCCGAAAAATGATAGTACGAAAGAAGATCTCTTGTCCCTCACTCGACTAGGTAGTTCTACTGAAACAACTCCCCTTTAACTTACTCGTTCCTTATGCAATGTTCACCCAGACGAGAAACTCAGCTAACACTAAACATATCGACAATTTCATTCTGCAATGACTCGCTACAGATCCAAAAAACCAGATGACGTTTCTAGAAACTTCAAATCGCTACCTTAAAAGGGAAAGGATTTCCAACATCCTCTCACTGCTGGCAACAACGATGCAACGATCATACTCAACTCGACTGCGAGAATTGTTAGAAAAGCTTCAGGAAACCCAGAGTTATCTTACGACGTATGACTGACTCAGTGTAATGAATGTGCGAGTGTGATGTAATGAACATGTCTTGGAACATTTTGAGCTCCTGATTCCTATTCCAAAGACTTGCATTGCAACCACAACCACGTATACACAAGCGTAATGAAAATGAACATGTCTTGGAACTTTACAAACCCCTCATTCCTATTCCAAGCCCTCGCATTTTCACAACCACCACATACACACAAGCGTAACAAAAACTAACTTGCTCAAGAATTGCACGATCCCCTCATTCCTATTCCAAACACTCGCATCTGCGCAACCACCGCGTACATACGACTAACTATTACGTACTATCCATCCTTCACTCTCATCTCCCAGTCTTCAGCTCCCCTCGAAACATCTCGTCTACATACGCAAACATATGCACTCACGCGTGTTCCAAGGTAACGAGGAATAAACTGCGTCATATGTCGTCACTACCTCCCAAACGAAGAATATATAAAGGGTTGCTAGAACCACGATGAATGTAAAAAGAAACTCCAGGTTTAAAGCACCTCCTCGATCAATCGATATATCCCTACTCAAGCTTGAAAAGACTCACCCACCATAATATTATCCATCCTTCCTAACCCCTAAAACTACCCCCGCCCAAACCACCTCCCCACCACCACCACCAACACCACCACCATGCCCACCTACGCCCCCATTGTAACCGAGCTGCGCGACGAGCTCCTCCGCGAAGTCGACGACCTCGACACCGCCGTCCGCAACGCCCTCGCCTACGACATCCCCGACATGAAAACGTACGGCATCATCTCCGGCAAAGGCTTCCTCGATTTCGCCGACTGGTTAGTGCGGGGCTGGATCCCCACCGAGAGCACCAACGGTCGGGACATCTACTACATTCTCTGCATGTTTTACTTCGTGCTCGCGCAAGAACCATTCGGGGTGCGTCAGACGTCCATTCTACCCAAGAATGTGAATAAGCCACTCACGCCGCTCTCGGACTGGCTGGTGCGATATGCCAAGGAGATTGGAAAGTTTATGGATAAGCCCGAGTCGTGGAATGAGACTTCCTTGACGAGCTACAGAAATTCTCCTCAATTCCGTGTGTTTGAAGCTGAAGATCCAAAGAATTGGAAGACTTTCAATCAATTCTTCCATCGCAAGCTCAAGGAACCTCGTGAGATTGCCTCGCCAGAAGATGATCGTATCATCACCTTCCCTGCCGATTCCACTTTTGCCGGCGCCTTTTCCATCACCGAAGAGTCCGAGGTAGTACTTAAGAATCTCCCATGGAAAGTATCAGACTTGCTTGGTAAATACGGGAAACAGAAAGTTCCACACTTCGACGACAAAACTACATATGGAGAATTGTTCCAAGAAGGAATTTGGACACATTCTTTCCTCAACACTTTCGATTATCATCGACAGCACGCCCCTGTCTCTGGAACGGTCGAGGTCATCGATGTGATTGAAGGTGCTGCCTACCTAGAGGTACTTGTCGAGACAGACAAGAAAGCTGGAGGACACAATTACCTTGCACCTCGACGTCGCATTTCCCCTCGTACGAAGAAGCAAGAGCCCAATGGAATCACCACACTCGACGCTCCTGACTCACCCGGTTACCAATTCTTGCAGACCCGTGGAATCCTCATTATTAACAATGAGAATTTGGGCCGAGTAGCTGTGCTACCTATTGGTATGGCGATTGTTTCTTCTGTCAATATGAACATGGAATTAAACGGCAAGAAGATCAAGAAGGGAGATGAGATTTCACATTTTGCTTTCGGAGGATCGGATTGCGTTATGATGTTTGAACAAAGGGCCAGAGTTTCCAATTTTCCTGATTTGGAGGCTGGTGAGCATTTCTATTACGGCGAGAAACTCTGTAAGGCTCATTATAAGGACAATGTTCCACTTCATCTCAAGAACAAAACTGCTGTCAATTAAAGCATGGGTCACTATCTTGGTTTCGTTGTCATTCCTTCACTGGTTGACGTGGTAGTTACGGTATCCAATTATCTTAGCCAGCTTAATACATCGAGTTCTGATCTGGCAATCACACTAATTGCCTTTCACTGAGTAACAATGTGATTTTGAGAAAACTTGCGAACAGTAAATTTAAGACGCAGTAACAATAAAATGTCTAATCTATCAACAATCAATTTTCTTACCAGTTTAAGAGCACAGGCGGTGACACTTGATGAATAGCATATACATCCCTTCATAATATACCATAACCAAATGATCATATGCTCTTACGATTTGTAACGATAACCTCTATTGACTCCACGGCAACAACCACTTGGAAGTTGTGTATCCAAAAGAACAAACAATGACCCCCAGATATCTTTTGACTTCGAATTGCTTGCGTGAACATTCATATCATACACTAGACACAAGAATTTCTGCAGAGGCTAAAACAATTGTCATGAACTTTCGTGATTTCATTAACATTATCATTAATCATTTGTAGTCTATGCCATCATGATATACGGGGATTTACTCTGAAATTTCGAATAGGAAACTTTTAATTTTCTCCACCAGCTGCCTAGCAGCCTTGGAGTTTCTCCAAAAGTGTTCTCCATTAGCTATCTCTTCATACCTGAAAACTGCTCCGTTCGTGGATCCTCTACTTTTACATAAGCTCGATAGCTTTTCTGTCCAGCCTGGAAAGCGAAAGTCAGTGCCCGTTGATTCAAGAAATTCATGGCAATTAGCTTTTGCTTACGTTCGACAGTCTTGATTTGGACAAAAAGATCACCGGTCCCATAGATGACCAACGTAGGATCAATTGTGAACTTGATGTTGTTATCTATTTTATGACCTTGCTTTCCAAAAAGGGAAGTCAACTGGAAGCTCCCGATACTGGCCAAATTGTTGATCATGCCATCAGGAGGTAAAGGAGAAACAAGTAGGTAAGCAACTTTGAAATCACTTCCAAGAATTTCCATGATATTGGCATCCTCTCTATCACGAGAGTGCCTCTTTGAGTTTCCCACGTTCATAGCACTATCTTGGGCCGGATTAATCGGCGAATGGATCTCTCCTCTCCTAGGCGACCCGTGATGAACAATAGACTTGAACTTATCCACACTCTTTATGACCTTGATCGGTGCATCTACAGAAAATGATCGTCTCGCTCCGGAGCCATGCACATCATGACTAGCTCTTCTAATATCTTCATCGCCTCCCATTCTAACCCCCGAGCTAGATAATCGAGTTTTGTGGTTTATCATTTGTTCTCCTGATTGAAGACTACGACCTCTCCGATGACCTCCAGCTCGAAGCAATGAATATGTAGCTTCGATTGTTTCATTCTGTTGAGTGGCTAAAAATCTTGCTCGAGATCTTATGTCTGCGTATGGACTGCCAGCGGCTGGTTGCTGAAAAGGAGCTAGCATACCAAGAAGGCTCGGCTCGAGATTCATAGTGATGAGGGATCCATATGAGTAGCCGGCAAGTAGTAACAGAGGCTGTGCATTATTGCTCTCAGTGCCTGATCCTGCGGAGGTATATCTGCCTGAAAGGCTATCATTCGTAGGCTGCATTAAGCGTTCTGATGGGACAGGAGCGAGGGTGTGAAGTTGAGAATCAGAATGTGCAAACGACGGAGGTCTAGATGAATATGGCACAGAAAGGTGGTGCAAATAGCTTACGATGAATCCGAGAAATGATATATAATCCTTTTGTTCGGGCGAGGAGGACCATGAAGTATGCCCTTTCGAGGAGCCCGCACCACTGGAGATATTAAGTGAGTCTAATGTTCAAGCATATGATGATAGATGGATAGTCATAGGTACCGAAAATTGAAAGTTCCTACAATGAATCCATCATTCAAAATGGTAGAAGCAATCAAACCAACGACCGCATCATCGTGACTTCCCCCCAATGGAGCGTAAGGATGCGCAACAATAGCAGCTTTCTTTCTCCATGGTGAAGCCTGCGAGATGGAGTTAGGTGCCAGACTTGACGGATGGTAGATACGACACTCGAGATCCAGATTATCGTGGACAGAGGGAATTGTGAAGCTCAAAGTAGGTGGTGGTAGCATGACGATTGTGTTTCCTGAGGATGAATAATCTCATCCCAGGAGTAAGTTCCGTGGAGTTGCCGTTGGCATAATGAAGTAAACTTCTTCTGGAGTACTATGACATCAATGCCAATTTCCTGTAGTGATGATTAAAGTCGAACAGTATATTTTCAGACTGTGATGGGTTTGAAATTGGAAGAGGAACATGATGATGTGGAATAGTTCAAGGCTGTTGCGCCCCCACTATACCGAGGCCGATTTGGTCGATATGACCAAAACCCCAAAAATAGATTTCTGCCTGAAGCAAAAAAAAAATTCTAAAATTTGTATGGTGTGGCCACAGAAAACTTGAAAAGAATATTTGTACTGTACGGAGCACAATCTCATTGCATATCACTATAAAAACTATATATAATATATCCACGTGAATATATCTTCAATTTTTCGAGTAATATAATAACAATAGTAATATTTTTGAATTATGATACTTATTTTAATGATAGACATTATTTTTTATTAATTATATAAAACTTATATAATGACTTTAATATATATAATTTTATAATAAATAAATATACTTAATATAAATAAATAATTGAATCTATTTATGCTTTAATTTAAAGAAAGTTAATAATATTAAATTGTATAGCTAATATAATAAAATAGTAGATCTCCCGAAGGTAGCCCATAAAGAATCGCTAATACCTAGGTATTCAATGACGGGACGATAACCTGGTGAAGTAAAGATGCATACAATTAATAGGCATGTACACAATCTGCATTAAAAGTTATGAAGCCATTAATATCAATCAAACCAAAGCACAATTAACCTTTCACATGTAAATTCTGTTTCAAAATGAATTTCGGTCGATCATAAGACATGACCACAGACGATAGGGCTGAGCTGAATTGGCCGAAGACAGGCTGGTGAGTCTTACATATAACGAGTTAGACAGAACACATCCGTTTACTGGGGCTTCTTGTTGTTGGAGAGGGATAGGAAAGTGAAAGCCAAGAGAGGTCAAGAGATCTTGAAGATCTGATAGAAATAGAGGAAAAGAGGAGAGTGTGTTGTAAAGAGGATCCGGGTAGAGAGGGGCAGAGAAGGATATAGTTAAAGTCTAGTAGGAAAACTCGATCTCGGGTCTTTTCGGCTGGTCCCTCGGAAGATGGGGTATCAGGAATGTGGAGATGCCCTCTGAAGAAAAATATACATAGTTCGCAATACATCTTCTGTGTCTGGCTACATTTTCATTTTCTTCCTTTGCCTGCAAAAGTATCCTAACTCAGAGAAGAGAATACCTCCCAGTCAACCTTAACCATGTCGTCGTTATACCGCCACCTTCAAGCGGACATGTCCACCCAAAAACGCCCAAAACTCCATGGGATTTCGACCCCTATCGATTGTTCTCCAAATCGCAAGGTATCTGCCGTGAATTCATTCCCTCCGCGCATCTGAGATGCATGTACTCTTGTTCGCATATCCGCATCGAAGGCTCCAATTATCTCTTTCTCTCGAAGAAGCCGGATGACCCTGCAAAGGCTACCGATGTATCCATAACCCATTCACCAACTCCAAGATATTTCTCGATCCAACCGTTGATTTCTTTGTTTTCGGTGACATCTTTCTTAAGGCTGGGTCTAGAGTCCCGAAGCATGGGAACTGTTAGCCTTCTACACCGCCAGATCAAGAAACCCAAAATTTGCATCTGTAATGCTAGTTGATCATTTCGCAACATGGTCGCAAAGGAAGATATAGGGGTTAACACACGTTAAACCAGTTGATCTCTTCATACCAGCCAAGAATGCTGAGACTAAATCAAGAACAGTCAGTATATTGTCTAACTTTTCGCCGCAAGGAGAACCGGGAGGGAGTAGTTACATAGGACAGCATCAAATGCATAATGAGTAAGTCTTCCGAGCTTTCCCGCGAGTCCAAATGTCAGTAAATTGAGGAAGAACTGAGCTGATTAGGTTCCCAAGTTCTGAAAGACCTGAAAGCTAGGGGGAGGCAACTAATTACCATATTTGTGACTTGAAGAGCGGAGTTTAATCTACGTCTTTTGAGATAAGAGTATGAAAAAGGTAATGTGAATTATCCGGAGCCCGATGAATGTTTGATGCGCAAAAGGTTGGCTTATGAATTGCTTGTTTGGGATTCCAAGGTTGTTGTGATTTGAGCTGATAATAGGTAGTCTCGGATATACTCACCGACGAGAGATCAGAAGCTTGGGATAAGAAACTAAGATAGTGGATGCCTTCAATCTTAGGCAATAAGGCTGAATCTCGGAAGTTCGAACTTTGAGCGGACACGGTTCGAAAGACTACGAAGTATGGACTATGGAGTGCGCCGTAAAGCGTCCAGGCGCCCAAGTGGGTTCCTGTTACATTTTATAAGTTAGTCTTTAAAGTTTTGGCATTCAAGACCGAAAGAATGGCCGATACTACCACTTATTTATTAGTAGGTACTAGGTATTGGTATTCATTTTCCAGAGCTCCGTCGAAAGTACGATCTTCACTAGTACCTCATTGGGACTAAGGCACATCTCTATCTGCTATCGGACCTGAGTTACCCAGTCTCGAGCCAGTGTCGGTATCAAAAGAAGCAAAGAGTGCCCAGACAACAACACACGCATTTCACCAAATGGCACCCCAAGAGATTTTGTTTCATTCGGGGTAAGGGATCTAGAGACTGAGGTACCGCCCGGTACAATTCAATACTTGTCATTGCATGAGAGAGGGCATAGAGGGCATAGAGGGTATAGAGGGTATGGAGGAAATTCGAGGAATAGCTATGTATATGGAATGGAGTGTTGGGAAATATGTAAAGGGTTGCTACTTTGTTCATACATATATATACACACACCTACACCTACACCTACACCTACATCTACATATAAGTGAAAAGAGGTAAGAGGTAAGAGGTAAGAGAAGTAAAAGAATTCAATCATTATCAATCGTTTCAACCTGTGCTGTGTAATTCGCTCGAAACAATTGCATGGCAACCCCAAATAGCTACCTTCCAAGACCCCAGGTACACCGATACCTAAAAGATATGTGACATAGAAATTCCAAATTCACTATCACGGACCTACCGGCCGGTATCTTGCTGGACCCTTCACTCCAATGTCACCTCAAACATATTGATGTGGGGTTTCACACCCAGGCAAATCTTCGAAGTGGGATAATAACCATAGTGGGTGAGATGGCTAAGGTTAGCTTGGAGATGAGGGGGAGTCGATTAGATTTTTTGCAAAAAAATGAAAGATTCCCCTCCTCTCCCCTCCTCTCCCCTCCTCTCCCCTTCAAGCTCCTTCAACCATAAAACCTCCTCAACCCAACCACAAGGTCTTCAGATTATCTTCTATTCGTTCTTGTTCTTCTTCAATCTCACGCAATATCTTGTCAACTGGTAAGTTTATCATTTCATGTCCCCTTCCCTCCCCTTCCCTTTTGTATATCATCAATATACTTTGGTGGATTGGTGGATTGGTGACCCCTTGTGCTTTGTATTGGATCTCAGCTCAACAATTTAAATATTGGCATTCTTGGTCTGTTTTATCGTTGTCCGTGTCTTTAATCCAGCCAACAGATTGGCAGAAACACGGCACAACACCAAACTACTAATACACTTCCTTTTCCGCTTTCTACATATTTCAATCCTTTTTGTTTCTCATTCTGTACCTGTCAAAAGTATTTCATTCAACCTTTTTTCTGCATCATCCTAATTCGATTGCTCACATTTAAACTGACGAATTGAAGGCTTTTGAACAGTTGCACTTACCCCCACCATATCGAATTCTACCTACATATTCCTCTTCCTCAACCTCCCTCTTGATAACTTTACAAAATGGCCACCGCAATGGATCACTTAGTTACCGGAACCTCCAAGATTGCTTGGTTGGCAAATCTCAACACTGAGTTCAAGCCCACCAAGAACTATCGCCGTACTTCGATTATCTGTACTATCGGTCCTAAGACCAACTCTGTCGAAGCTCTCAACAAGCTCCGTGTAGCTGGTCTCAATGTTGTCCGCATGAACTTTTCCCACGGTTCATACGAATACCATCAATCCGTTATTGACAATGCCCGTGAAGCCGAGAAGGTTCAACCAGGACGTCAACTCGCCATTGCTTTAGATACCAAGGGTCCAGAAATCAGAACTGGTAACACAGTTGGTGATGCCGATATGCCTATCTCTGCTGGATCAGAGATCAACATCACAACCGATGACAAGTATGCTACTGCTTGTGACGAGAAGAACATGTACGTATAATTCACAACCAACAATTCATCATGGGATTATCAAATGCTAATCTATCACCACGCTTTCTAGGTACGTTGACTACAAGAACATCACCAAGGTTATCGAGCCAGGACGCATCATCTATGTTGATGACGGTGTCCTTGCTTTTGATGTTTTGGAGATTGTTGACGAGAAGACCATTCGTTGCCGCGCAAGAAACAACGGAAAGATCTCTTCCAAGAAGGGTGTCAACCTCCCAAACACCGATGTCGATCTTCCAGCTTTGTCTGAGAAGGATCAAGCCGATTTGAGATTTGGTGTCAAGAACAACGTCGATATGGTCTTTGCCTCATTCATCCGTCGTGGAGAGGATATCAAGTCCATCCGTAAGGTTCTTGGTGAAGATGGAAAGCACATTCAAATCATTGCCAAGATCGAGAACAGACAAGGTCTTAACAACTTCCCTGAGATCTTGAAGGAAACTGATGGTGTCATGGTTGCTCGTGGTGATTTGGGTATTGAGATCCCAGCAGCTGAGGTTTTTGCTGCTCAAAAGAAGATGATTGCAATGTGCAACATGGCTGGTAAGCCAGTCATTTGTGCAACTCAAATGCTCGAGTCCATGATCTACAACCCAAGACCAACTCGTGCTGAGATCAGTGATGTTGGTAACGCCGTTACTGACGGTGCTGACTGTGTCATGTTGTCTGGAGAGACTGCTAAGGGAAGCTATCCTAATGAGGCTGTCACCGAGATGCACGAGACTTGTTTGAAGGCTGAGAACTCTATCGCATACGTTTCTCACTTCGAGGAGCTTTGCAACCTTACCGAACGACCAGTCAGCGTTGTCGAATCATGTGCCATGGCAGCAGTCCGTGCCAGTTTGGACATCAATGCAGGTGCTATCATCGTTTTGTCCACCAGCGGAGACAGCGCACGTCTTCTTTCCAAGTACAGACCAGTCTGCCCTATCTTCATGGTTACCCGAAATGCCAGTGCATCCAGATACGGTCACTTGTATCGTGGTGTCTATCCCTTCCACTTTGCTGAGGAGAAGCCAGACTTTTCCAAGGTCAACTGGCAAGAGGATGTCGACAGAAGAATCAAGTGGGGTATTGCTGAGGCTCTCAAGCTTAAGGTATTGGCTCAAGGGGAGAGTGTCGTCGTTGTTCAAGGATGGAAGGGTGGTATGGGTAACACCAACACGTAAGTTTTGATCACATCAATTTATTTTCAATCTTTACTAACCTTTGTTTCTAGTCTCCGTGTCATCAAGGCTGAGCCAGAGAACCTTGGTTTAGAGCAAATCTAAACAGCAAGGGAACAACTTGAAAAAATACCATAATGAACTTTAGTTCATCTATAGAAACGATATACCCGAGCCTCACCTCGCATCGAACTAAGCTTCGATGCTTTATACGGCCTTTCGAGTTCGTACCGTACTTAGTTTTACCATTCTTTCATGCTTAAAATGGTTATGATAATGAAGAACAAACAAACCAGAAGGTCACGGATTGGGTGCAAACGTACAGAACGTACTGCCTTGTTTATAGAAGAATACCAAATGCTTTACCGCCCACAAATGTGATTTTTATGATATTCTATGCTTAGTCCAACGAAAGTGATACTCTGATAACGAGTTATCCTCATTCCTTTGAACTTTCTTCGAAGCTGTGCAATGTTTGGGTTTCAAATACAAACGAGCATGATGATTGAACTTGAGGCGGATTTATATAATACTCTTGAAATTCCCACTTGAAATTGGTTGTAGAAAACCGCTGACGCCGTCGAAAATTACGGCCTTGTCTGCGTTCAGCCTCGTTGAGGACGTGCACGAAGACGAGGCTGATCTCCGCATCGTGTGCCTGTCGCATGTGATAGAAGCCACTGCTACTTGTTCAAATATTTTATACTCAACCATTCAAACTGGTAATCCTGTTTATCCAGCCTGATTCACATGCATGCATGTGCTCATATCATTTCAGATAGTGTTTTAAAACTTCAACTAAGTAGTTACAGCTGTTCCAATTCTATTACTTTTACCATTCTAATACTCTTACATTTCTCCATTCGAAACCAGCTTGTACCTACAGCTCTCACAATCGATTTCATCGCATCACAGCAGTAGTAGCGAATACATGTTAAGCCTATAAGATATCCTCTCGACGAATCTTTATCCGTTAAAGAAACTACAAGCCCTCGTAATACCAAAACATCAGATATCAACGAAAGGGTGACCTCAAACCTCGAAAACAAAATGTCCCGCTCCCGTAACTCGTTCTTCAGCAACTCTTCAGGAACAAATGATCAAAAACATCCTCTTCTATCAAGCGTGTATGATCCGCATAATGATGTTAATCTGCGAGATCTCTCTTCCCCTTCAGCTTCGAGAGCTACACCGAGTCCACCGCCAGAATTCTATAGGGGTATGAGGTCGCCTACTAGTGCGAGTGCGAGTGCGAGAACACTATCTCCGAGACCAATTTCAGAATCGGGATCTGCGAGTAAATTTAAAGGGAATGGGAAGGCGAAGGGAAGGAGGATACAATTTGCTGCTCCTCCGCCACCAATTGTAGGAAGTGTTGCTGGTTTGGGTAATATTGCGAGGAGTTTGGATGGGAGTGGAAGCTCTCATATGAGAGGGAGTGTGGTTCGGGAAGGAAGAGTTGGAATATTGAAAAGTGTGGGGAGTGCTGTGGGAAGCTCTGCGCAAAATGATAGTCTTTTGGGGCTGGAAAGGAGAGAGCGAGCTTTACAAGCGGAATTACAAATGTTGCTAGATGCACAGAGCGAGGGGCTAATGCAAGGATTCGGTGGAGGTAGTAATGGAGAAGAGCATAGTGGAAGCAGCACGCCTACGACAAGGTCATTACAACGAGATAGAGATAGGCAGGGAGGTAGAAGTACAGAAGGAGCTCATATGCGTACAATTCCTGTCCGACAACCAAAGAGAAAGTCTGTCGGACTAAGAGGCTCGAGGAAAGGGTTGTTAAGGAACATGGGTCTATTGGCAGATGTTAAAGTTGAGGAAGGAGAATTGTTAACAGAAGAAATCAAGAGGAGAGAAATGTGTATTGCGAAAACGAAAGATTGGAAGATTAGAATCGACGAAGTTAAGAGAGAAATTGGCGAGTTCGTCTCAGCAGACATAACAAATACTAGAATCTCTTCACCGAATGAAGAAAGTCATCAATCTCCTAATGCAAGCAAATCCGAAGAAGATCGAGAGATAGCGGAACTACGGACTGAAGAGCGAGCTGTCGAAAACGAAATCCGAGAGACGGAAGATAGACTGCTACAGATGAAAGCGAGGCGGACCTGGCTGGGAGATCGGATCAATGAGAGAGTTAATCAGAGAGAATCGCGATTGTCTAGTTATCGTGGTGCTCTGAGGGAAGTGGAATCAGAAGTCCAGGAATTTTTGACGAGACCGCCGGCTATGGTATCGATTTGTATGGGGAACGAAGAAGGATTCATGGCACTACCACCTAAGCGACGCACCTTAGAAATGGCGGAGGAATGGTGGAGTAAAGAGATCAATTCTTTGCAAGCCAGGAAACTAGAGGTGCAAAAGGAAAAAGATGCACTAGAAGATGGAGCAAAGCTCTGGGAAGAAACCGTAAAGCTAGTTGTGGCCTTCGAGGACGAATTGAGAGAGAATATGAAGAGTGGAAAAGTGGGAGATGTAGAGGGATTAAAGATGCAAATTGTGAAGATGAAAAAGGTATCAGGGAAGTTGTATGAACTTGAAAGGATAGCGAGGAGCAAAGGCTGGAATTTGTTGGTCGTGGCGGTGGGTGCGGAATTGCAGGCTTTTATACAGGGCGAGGAGATTCTGAGAGGGGCGTTTGGGAGTTCGGTGGGAGGGGATAGGGGTCATGGTGAGGATGATGATTATAATCGTGATGTTGAGATTGATGTTGAGAAGAAGGAGATAAAGAAGGATAATGATGAGAGGAGTATTGATACGGATGTGGAATTGAGAACTACGCACTCGAGGGATGAGGAATCGATGACTGATGATGATGGGTTGAAAGAATTGGAGGCGGAATTCGCGAGGCAGGAAAGGAGAGAGGGAGGGATGCTGGGGGAGGGGAGAGTAAGTGTGGATAGAGAGGGTGGGGCTGGAGATGAGGATGTGGATGTGGATGTGGAAGAGAGTGATGAGGAAAAACACTTGAGGGAGTTGATGGTGGGGCATAGTAGAGGGGATGAGGAGAATGATACGGATCATGAGGGGTTTTGAGGGGTTTGCTTCGTGGGAGTTGGGAGATGGGATATGGAGTGGGAAGAGGATCAGGATGAGGATACATGTAATATTGATACCATGGGGCGGTCTCTTTTCGTTTCTTTTCTCTTATCACGACATTGCATAGAGTTGATTATGAATTAATGAATGAGTGAATGAATTATACATATTTCTGACATCCTTTTCCTCCAGATTCCACACTGTTGCATACCTATATATGGAATTTTTGATATATACTTGATTATAGGGATGAGATGAGATACAATGTATATATTAATCCCATCCCACCCCTTCCAATGCACCGATCCGTACTTTCACTTAACTTGATTTCTCAAAAATTCAAAAATTCAAAAAGCCAACCCAATTTCCCATATCCAAATCCAAATCCAAGTCCCGGTCCCGGTCCCATACATAGATACATAGGCACATACATACCTCCGCCCATCCTGTTCCATTTCATCTTATTCCATTTATTCTCAACCCAATTCCCCGACGCATCCCAATCCCCCATCTCAATCTATCCCCCATCTCAATCTATCCCACATCTCAATCTATCCCTAGTCCCCTCCCCCAAGCCCCCTCCTCATCCCCTCCCATCATGCACCGCACACCTCTTCACCGCCCACAACTCCCAAAACTTCCAATGCTGCTTCAAAACCACCTCACTGCCCTGCTCCCCCCAAATCCCCCATCGCATACCCATCCGCACACTCACAAATCACATCCTCTTGCCCCGCTCCCCCCTCCCCATTTTGTCCTCCTTTCCAATCCCTCTCCCCCACCTCCACCCCCCTCTCCTTATTCAACGCCGATGCAGACGCAGAAGAAGGTAAATGCACCGAACTACTATGATGACTCAACGTGCGATCACCAATCGCCGTATCTTCGAAATCTACTTCCTCGTCGCTCTCACCGCTCGAGTCGTCAAGATCCATGTCTGTATCGATGGGGTTATTGATAATTGGGTTATTTCCCTGATTTCCGGCTCCCATTCCGATTCCGATTCCATTACCGATTCCATTTGTGCCTCCCCCTACATACCCAATTCCTCTCAAGCTAACCCACTTCAGTTCCCGCAGCTCTCTCCTTAACATCCGCACGACTTCAATCCAGCTACTCCCCTCTTTCAATTTCACACTTCTGAGTCTCACGCTCCTTAATGTATATTTATGTCTCCTAAGCAAACCGATAATCTCCTCACTATCTAGATGCCATGCTCCAAACCCTAAATATCTCAGATTCTCCCAGGTGACATTATGAAAAACCGCTTCGAGGGGTACATGAGCAAGCGGTCTATTAGAAGGGAATCCCACATGAAGACCCTGAATCTGATGAGCCGAAGTGAAGAACGTGTTGAAGAGAGCTGAAAGTTGATACATTTTATCATCCGACGGTTCCTGTATTTGAATTTCTAAACAAGTAAGTCTATTTGCCAGAGTGGATATTGTGTTATGGGAATGGGAATTTAGGAGAAATGGAATACGCGGGTTGACGAAACGGGATGAGAAGCGTGTTGCGGGGGATTCGGACTCGAGAAATGCGTAGCCGAGAGCCCGGGCGGAATGTTCGCATGCAGCTGTCCATTCTAGCGGGTCAAGATCGAGAGATAGAATTGGGTCGGTGATATTGTTGTTATTGTTGTTTTGAGAGAAGGCGATCCAGCGTCTTTCTCGGAGGAAAGAAGACCAATCCATATCCACTCTATCTTGAACTCTCATCAGACGAATTTGTTGAAGATGTTTGAACAATCGAAAGGCACGTAGTAAACTCTGTACATCAATTCTATTGTTGATAATGGTAGACTGTTCACGTGCTCGTGATAATACTCGGAAAATAGTGAGCTCATCCTTGCGACTGCGATCAAGCTTTGTTCGAAGCTGCTTAAGCGATGGTCGAGATCTATCGACTTGACGTGCATTGCTATTTACTTGTTTGAGATTCACTTGTCTCTCGAGATCAACTGTCGCAGCGTGTGTCTCGTCGAATAAGATCTGAAGTTGACTTAGACCTTCGAATGTGTTAGCGGTTTTTCATATTAATAGGTAAGACCAAAATATACCTCGATGGTAAAAGACCGGAATCATATACGAGAACTTTTTGACATGCTCAGCTAAGTGGGGACGCTCTTCTACCAAGAATCGTAACCGATTGAATCCAGCATCGGAGCATCGTATCGAGACACGGGCAAACTGTCTTCCCAATAAAAGACTGTAGAATTTCCTACATGTACGGCTCTGATAACCTTGTCGTTAGAGATATAAATGGGGATTGTTAACGAATAGGAAGATCCATACAAGAGTTGTGGTAATGTTTGTATCCTCTAAGGATTGTGGTGGCATAGATTGAAAACTCTCTACACTTAAAGAGGCTCTATGGTCAATGGGAATCAATTTCCCAGAATTATGAACCAAATATTCAAGGATGTTCTCTAGAACCTCGTTCGAGAGTTTGAATATAGGTGTAAGCTTAGATTTGGGTGTTCGCGATTTACATAAGGAATATGCTCTATGAAATCTCCTCTGCGCCAAGCAGAATTTGAGCACGTGTGGCGATTGAGTCCATGGATTCCAAGAAGGTGGTCTTTCATTGTAATCTTCGTAAAGTAATTGCAAACAGATTCGAGAAAGGATATCATCTGGAAGTCTCTCAATAGATTTCAAATCGTCCATCTCGAGGAATAGAAATGTGATGACTGGACGAAGAGCACCTTTTTCTAGAGTGACTTGTTAGAAAAAGTCAATATAATCTATGCAGTCTTACCTCACATAACGAGCGTATTGGGGCAGAAAGTTCTTGAGGTTATTCGGAGAATATGCAGGGATATAAGTAGAATAATGAATGTATATCAGATTGTTACATCATAGTGGGTGAAATTGAGTGCCGGCACTCTATGTATGGAATTCGATTTCGACGTTGAGCAGCCAGGTTTTATGATTTCTGACGTGTCGATGCGTCTCGAGGGATCACTCGAAGGATATTTCAACGGACAAATGTGTGTGGATGGATCCCTCCTCAGATATTTATTAGAATTTTATTGTCATGCAGATATATTGCTTGTTTCGGGTTTGGTTGGTCAGAATGATTTCATGGCCTTGCTGCAGCGGCTTGTGGGTTACCGATCGTTCGGTGCAAATACAATCATGTGATCTTGGATAAAACCCAATCAAGTATGAAAGGGTGAATATTGAAAGGGTGTAATGGATATAATTTGATACAGGAAAAGATACAGATTTACTACAAGGATTCGCCCATTCATGGCTGCATGGAATGACAACGAATCGTAGGTTAGCGGAGTAATGGATCGTCTGGATTATTGTATAGCGAACGAATTACGGGTCAGAACACGATGATTGTGGTCCTCAGGCCCTAGCACGGGTAGGTAGGTGTCTAGGCAAGATGATAAACTACGATGCAGACAAATTAGATAAACTTATCTAATTTTCCGACATCTCAAATGTTGATGGACAAAAAGTGTGATCCATACGATTTAGATGGTTCGTCAGATAAATGAAGGACAAATTAGATTGATAAAATGAATGGTTAAAGGGTTAAAAGGGTGGTTCTTGCTTGCTTATTATGCCCATGACCTAGTCTCAAGGCGAAACATGGATCAAAAATTGAGAACGAACGGCTTGCTAATGTAGAATGTGACTGAAGGCAAGTGAATGCAACTCTCAACCATTTCCGTCGAATTTAATACATGGATATTCGATAATAAGCCTAGTCCAGTCGAGATGCTGATTTGCTCTTTTTAGTGTGGGTAAATCCTTCCACAATTATTGGAAAAAGGCTTGAATTCATTTGAACCTATGCATCTGTGAACCTGTGCATTTGTGAAAGAAATATGATTGGATGATGGGCGCTTAATTCAAGAGTCCCCGCATAACTCAACTCAATTGCACCACACGAGGAGAGATATCTGAAGGACCAGCTTTCATTATATAATTCTCCGCGGCTTGATAAAATAGAGTCCAATGGACACTCTATCCGATTGCTTAATTGGAAAGTCCCTCGTTAGCATGGTTTCTAGGCGTTGTTGAATCGTGGAAATGGTACTATAAGGTCGTAGTCGTGGGCATCGATACCCAGACGCCAGTAATGGGTTGAATCAATATTGAGAGCTACGTTCCAGACAAAGTGAAGCGGGAAGAGATGAGACGATGAACCTTGTCGGATGGTGATTCCTATGCATGAACTCTGTATTTCTGCAAATGACGTGCATATTGTGACGGCGCAGCAGGCTCAATATTGGGTCGAGAAATTCTGCGCAGAAGACATCACTCTACAACCTTATTTCCGACAACAATGGTACTGTATTCATCCTTCTCCTTAATATGGGCCCCGGCCAAGCTGGGCTATCTATGCAGGGCGAGATCTCGCGAGGTCAAGTTTTGATTAGAGTGACGATGTCCGGGCGCGATCCGCCATCTGCTTTCTTATTGCAGTGCTACTGATTTTTGAAGCAAAGTCTGATTTGGGAGTATTCTCGAGATCAGCTTGCGCATCGAGCACATCGACTTCATAAACCTCCAGTGCCTTCCAGCTCTTCTCGACTCTTTTATCATTTACTGCTTGTCCGCCCGACCTAGTTTCCCCCGACACAACGAGTGCGGTAACAGATTCATCCGTAATAGTTGGCCCGTAAGCATCTTGAATTTCAACACACTCGATAGTGATTGAGCAAGCATTGAGTTTGGTATGTGTTGCCCGACCATTTGAAGCAGCCAATGGAACTGTTTGGATTGCTTCCTCCTGACTAGTCTGCGTGAAAGAAAGAATCGATATGAGGAATTCAACGACATCATTTTGTCGCTCCTCCCAACTCTGCAAGTGATCGGCATATTTTTTATTCTTCAGCAATTCGTCCCCTGTGATACCGATAATCAATCTCCGGGAAGGGTCCTGAACGCTGGCGGCTGGTTGTAATAAAAGTGCCGTAGCTGTAAGCAAGAGTTTGTGGCCGGCATGAAGATGATCAAACGTGCCCCCAACTGCTACCACAGTATGAGAGGCAGAAGAATTTGGTTGTACAGACTGTAAAGTACTTTGAATCATGCTCACTCCACCACTGACCATTTGAAATTCTGCATGTAAAGGAGGACTAATCCCATTTGCGAAATGTAAAAAGTCTCGAAGCAAATTTTGTCCTTCTTCGCCTTGCACTGAGAATATTTTGCTCCACTGACGTCGAGTACTTGCGAAGAGAGGAAGTCCAACGATAGGACCGCCAGCCAAACCCCCAAGACTGGCATCACGCCCAGAATTCTTGTTAGTGGACACGCGTGCAGAATCATAATCCAATAAAACGATGCGAAAATCCACCGCGCCAGATAACTTGGATGTAATATCGATATCTTCCTTAGCACATATAGAACAGGTCAAGCTGTATAAACCACCGAGTAGCCTCTCCACCTCATTGTAAATTTGAGATCTTGGTTCCTTCAACCGATCCTTGAAACTTGACGAGGCAAGTGCAATTATCAGCTTGGTGCTTGACGACGAAGTTTTAAGACTTGCAAGTACCGCCGATAACGATGAAGAGTACGCAGCACTGAGAGTTGCTGGTGTAGCTGGTGCGGGGTGTTGAGGGAGCAGAAGTAGGGATTGTGACATGATCGCCAACTAGGTATCTCGCCGACACACTGAGACTTATTGAATCAATTTCGATCTGATATCAGCATGGAATCGAAATATGAATGCAAGACTGCTTGTCTCAGAGAACGGTATCTGAGGAAGAAGGTTGTTTTGTGTCGGTAGTTTGTGGATGAATCCATGAGTTGAATACCAACAAACAAAATACTCCATCACTCCATCACTCAATACAGGCTTCGAGGGGTAATTTTCACCCAGCCTTATCAGATGTGATTGATGTTAGGCTCTATTGTGTCCACCAATACCATCATAAACTTTGGCTGCTAATGGCCTAATCAAATCAGAAGCCCCATCAGCCATGCCACCATAACCTTACAAAGTACATACCTCCCTGGGGACCTCCATACTTTCATACCAATAATATAACTTCCAACCTTAATTCTCCCACTTTCTCATTCCGAAACTCCATCAAATTGGGCAGCCAGTCTTATCATTGCTGTCATTGTTATTGCTACTACTGCCACTTTTGCTGCTGAATGTAGGGGAAGGCAGGAAGCAGCCACTCAATTGTCTGACATTTGACATTGAATACCTAGGTAGCTAATTTATTCCCTGCGCCTGCGCCATGCCTTTCGATCCTTTCAATATTCACTCGAATTCTCGTTCGTCTTCATCGCAACAAAATGCTTTACCGGGAAATTCGACTTCGGGAGGTATATTACAAGCCGCAGCAAATCTAGGTAGTTTTGGCATGCCTTCATTGTCTAGCTCTGCCACAGGACATTCTGCACCACCACCAACGACGTATGGTCTGCCCCATCCAAATTCTTCCATGACGACCACTTCCAACAACACATCAATGAATCAACAGTCTCAACAGTACGAAACACCAAGGCGAGCTCGACACGCCGACGAGCTGCATTTAAATATGTCTGCGCAACGAGGTGCTTTATCTCCAAAAGATTACGGTGCAAGTGGTCCACGTATGACTTTAGAGCAAGCCGCTCCCGATTCATCCCAATATTCAAATGCAGCACCACTTCCAGGCACTCTACAACCAGGAAGACCAGGTGTGACTTCGACAAATACAGCCCCTTCAATGCCCACGATATCGCAAGATCAATATTCAACACCATCACGATCCGCAGGTCTTTCGCACAATTATACACGATCTAGCCCCGCGGCAGGATTTGACAGTCAAGGTTTTGCAACATTTCAAGCAACCACACCGGGTGGATCTGAGCAAAATACACAAAAATATACACCACAAGGCTCTCAACGAACTGTATCCAATACTCCCCTTGGGCTTGCAGATATTCGACCGCGTACCGACTCGACACTTCCCGAAGGCTTACCTGGGGCCAATCCATATTCATATGATGGTACCAGCGCAACACCCACCAACAGCAACTATCTCGCGCCGTGGGCTTTATATGCATTCGACTGGTGTAAATGGCCAGCGCAAAACAACGATGCCGGGAAGATCGCAATAGGAAGTTATTTAGAAGACGGACACAACTTTGTAAGTATATTGATTTCACTGTGAGCCTTAAGCAAATAATTCATTGCTGATATTGATTTATTAGATTCAAATACTTGATTCCCATATCGTTCCCACCCATTCTGAATCCTATGTACCTGGCGCTCCAAAATATGGACTTGAATTTACCAAGGTTGCCGAAGCCACACATTCATATCCTGTAACTCGACTCCTATGGGAACCACCATCATCGCAAAAGCAATCTACAGATTTACTAGCCACTTCGGGTGACCATTTGAGGTTGTGGTCGCTCCCATCTGAGACTCCAGTCGCATCGGCAAACAATACTATCGGAGGACGCACTTCTAATTCCGGTCGAGACCTACCTCCTAGCAAACTTACACCATTAGCCTTGCTGTCTAACTCGAAAACCCCCGAGCATACTGCACCTTTGACCTCCTTGGATTGGAACACTGTCTCGCCTAGTCTAATTATTACTTCAAGCATAGATACGACATGCACCATATGGGATATTCCTACATTGACTGCCAAGACACAACTGATTGCACATGACAAAGAAGTATTTGATGTCAGATTTTGCGCAAACAGTGTGGATGTTTTTGTTAGCTGTGGAGCTGATGGGAGTGTGAGAATGTTTGACCTCCGAAGTTTAGAGCACAGTACCATCATCTATGAGCCAACTACAAAGGACGATAAAGGTACGATTTTTGAAGCCAATTTTAGGCATTTTGCTAATTGCACCATAGATACGAGTCCTGGTGGTGGCAGGATAAGTCCAACTTTAGCCCAGCAAACTATGTCCTATGCACCCCCTTTACTACGACTAGCAGCGTCGCCACATGATACCCATCTCCTCGCTACGTTCTCACAAGATTCCAACATTATTCGTATCTTGGATGTTAGACAACCTGGACAAGCACTCCTTGAGCTTCAGGGGCATTCCTCATCTATAAACTGCATAGAATGGTCTCCAAACAGGAGAGGTACTCTTGCTTCTGGTGCTGATGATTCTTTGGTTCTTATTTGGGACCTATTGGGTCCAAACACAGCTCCTCCTGTTGGTCCTAGCATGAATGGTGCACCTGTATCTGATAATTCTCGAGGACCTACTGCCAGTTGGCAATGTGATTACGAAGTGGGAAACATTAGCTGGGCGCCTCGAAGCAACTTGAACAATAATGAGAACGGTGATTGGCTCGGAGTAAGTGGAGGAAGGGGTATCTGGGGTGTGAAACTGTGATGAATTATGATGAGCTTTCAGGTCGGCTATTAGAACGGAGCGTAGCATTATCGCATGTCAAAGCCTGGAGTTCGGTTTTCTGGAGATTGCCTCTACGATATCCGAGTATTCATGATTTTATACTCATCGGAGTTTATGTATAATAGGAGTGCGGTGACTGGTTACCTAAATTTACAAGTACGAGTAGGTCGTATGGCCGAAACTAAAACTTCAACAACCAATTGTTCGCCTTGAATTGCAATCTATATACGCAATTTCCCGAGATGATTGTAACTACAGCCCTGCATCTTCTGCAACATCCTCAGTCACGACTACTCTGACTAGCCTGACTACTCCTACAGCTATCACTTATTTAATTCAGCTTCCTTGCCATAGTTATAGTCAATCACCCAGCAAGTATCGACTGGCTTTCGGAACTGAAACACGGTCCCAGGCAATTCGAGTCCATGTATATGAATGGTGATCCTACGAGAAATTTGAGGTTCTAATGTCTACCACAAGCCATGAGAAGTGTTAGTGTGGATATATGCTGAATTCATGAGCCAGCAATACCGTGCAGTACCTAGTGATTGAATTCAAGGCTATTGCAAAAAACATTGATTTTTTCCTTATAACAGGATGCAAATCTTGAATTTGAAAGAGGATTTACATGCTAGCGAAGATTGGTTGAAAATATATGGACGAACCAACGGTACGTCCTTAGAGATGCAACAAAGAAGAACTGAGATTCCTGTGTGTAGTTAAGGAGACCTTTGTATTGGTTCGACCTCGAATCTGGAGTCTTTTTGCATAGTTCAACCCAGGATTGGAGGAGAATAGGTCGGGTAGCAGTTGGGTTAGCAGCATCAATTTATATTCGTATCCTACCTATCAACTCAACTTGCATACACAATTTGATTAAAGTCTCATCCACAAAAGAGGATTTACGAGTTCCTTTCAGTCGATTTTGAATACCTAGCAGTAAGTCCCTGATTAATAAAGATATAAGATGGCCACAGGCGATTCTTCAATCGATCAGCCATATGACAATGCTAATTGGAATATCAATAATCACCTGCACCTCCTTGCCTTACTTACTCAAGGATTTCTACATAAGGTCGTTGATTGCCTTTCATTTTTTAGTCAATGTTTCCTCAAACAAATGATTTCAACACAATTCTCTAGAACAATGAATTGTATTGAATAAGATCTTGAGGAAGAAGTGTACAACCTATGGTGTTCGAGTAGTACTCAGTACATTGGTACAGTCTCATTGGCTTAGGTAATTCGGGGTTATCCCTAGATAAGTTAGTCCCACTACTGGTCGAAAGGCTGAGGCCATTTTGAACAAAGGTTAGCTTGCCTTGCCTTATATACTCTGTCTATTGACCTTGAAATTTGTCTTCTTGAAAAAAAAAACCTACAGATACCTCCCATTTCTCTCTTCGGATGCACAATTCTCTTCTTTCAACCTTTGTATTAAAATGTCTACCTCGAATTTATTGAATAATTCCTTTGATGAAAGCGACGAAGAGGACGACAATTTCAATCCCCAACCTGCGGATCTTTCAGACAACGAAGATGAAGGAAACAACACAACCAGCGCGCAAAGGCATAATGAAGCTTCGCGTCATCAAATAGGGGATGACGATGGCTCTGATGATGAAGCAGCCCCCTCGAGTGGTAGAAAACACGGGTCGGGTGGTGCTCATGACGACGATGAAGACGAAGACGACGAAGGCGAGGGAGAAGACATTGGTGGAGGTGCTAATGATGATGACGATGAGGAAGAGGAAGAAGAGGATGATGAAGAGGAAATTACGGTAAGCATTTCTGAGCTACATGCACAATTCCTGTTCTCTCACAATGCAGTGGCCAGCGTTTTTTCTAACCCCAAAGCGTAGGGACACCGCCGCAAGCGCCGCAGAGACCGTCGCAATGTTTTCCTCGATGTCGAAGCCGAAGTAGATGAAGACGAGGATGAGAATGAGGATGACGAGGATGAATTGAACGAAATGAATCACACTTTCATTGCAGACACACACCCGGATGATATGGCAGACCTTCCGGATGGTGGTGAGACAGATGACAGGCGTCACCGAGATTTGGACAGGAGGCGTGAAATGGAGGCGAGTCTTGATGCAGAAAAGCAAGCAGAAATTCTACGACAACGATATGCGAACAAGGGTCGATCATCAAGAGGCACCGGAGACTCAGCTGTCGTTCCAAAACGTCTTTTACTTCCTAGTGTCGACGATCCCAGTATTTGGGCAGTACGATGTAAAGAAGGAAAGGAAAGAGAGGCCGTTTTCTCTATTATGAAGCGCATAGAAGAGAGAGCCGGTACTAAAGAGGAGCTTGCGATCACTTGCGCTTTTGAGCGTGGTGGAACGCAATCTACAATGAAGGGTTTTATTTATGTCGAAGCCCAGCGACAAGCCGACATTTTGACTGCTATGGATGGTCTTATGAATGTCTACCCTCGAACTAAAATGATGCTGGTTGAGATCAAGGAAATGCCAGACCTTCTCAGAGTTACAAAGAGTCCAACTGTGGAGGTTGGTGCCTATGTGCGACTTAGGCGTCCAGTGAAATATGCGGGCGATCTTGCGCAAGTGTTGGAAGTCACTGATACTGGTCTCGAACTCCGTGTCAGATATGTACCTCGTCTCGACTATGGTCTTCATGAGGATACTAGTGTAGGACCGGACGGAAAAAGAAAGCGTCCAGTAGCCGGACCACGTCCACCCCAACGACTATTCAGTGAAGCCGAAGCTAAGAAACGACATGCAAAACATCTGCAAGGTCGACCGGACACGAAAACTTGGAATTACTTCAATGAAGAATATATCAATGGATATTGCGAGAAGGAAGTTAAAATCCAGGCGCTCATCACTAAGGATGTTAATCCAACCCTCGAGGAAGTCACAAGATTTGCTTCTGGTGCCGAAGATGGAACCGAAAACTTGGATTTAAATGCTCTCGCTGCAAGCTTGAAAGCCAGCACAGCCAATGCCTCTTATCTACCCGGCGACGTCATTGAGGTTTACGAAGGAGAACAAAAGGGTGTCGTTGGTAAAGCAGTCTCTGTCACTGGTGATATTGTTACAATGGCGGTATCCGAAGGAGCATTAAGGGGTCAAACTATCGAAATTCCTATCAAGGGTCTACGCAAGCGTTTCCGTGAGGGCGATCACGTCAAAGTGATTGGCGGCAGTAGATTCAGAGATGAAGTTGGTATGGTCGTCAAGATCATTGAGGATCGTGTCACATTGTTGAGTGATCAAAACAATAATGAGATCACTGTTTTTAGCAAAGATCTTCGGGAGGCAAGCGATTCTGGTGGGAGTGGTGCATTAGGAAAGTACGAGCTTTGGGATTTAGTGCAACTAGATCCATCTACTGTTGCTTGTATCATCAAAGTTGACCGCGAATCACTTGTTGTTCTTGACCAGAATGGATCTAACAGAACAGTTATTCCATCTCAGATCTCTAATAAGCTTGAAAAGCGAAGGAACGCAGTGGCGACGGATCGTAATGGTGCTGAGATCAAGATGGAAGATACCGTGAAAGAATTTGGAGGAGAGGCTAGGTCTGGCAGAATTCTACACATTCATCGAGCCTATCTTTTCTTGAAGAGTTCCGAATTGAGCGAGAATGCTGGTATATTTGTGGCGCGAACTACCAGCGTCCAAAGTGTATCTGCTAAGGGAGGACGCATCACTGAAAATGCGACTTCACCGGATCTCAGCTCCATGAACCCGGCAATGAAGCTCAACCCCAAGAACAACGGCCAGATGCCTCCACCTAAATCAATTGGTCGTGATAAATCCATCGGACAGACAGTTACAATTCGCAAAGGCCCATACAAGGGTTTACTCGGTATTGTCAAAGACACCACAGACACCAATGCAAGAGTAGAATTACACACAAAGAGCAAGGTAATCAGTGTGCCAAAAGACTGTCTGGGATTCAAGGACAAGATAAGCGGAGCATCCGTAGATCCAAATGGTTTCAGAGGTGGTCCTGGTGGCGGTAGAGGAGGAGGAGCTCCAAGAGGTCGTGGTGGATTTGGAGGTGCAACTCCTGGACCGGGTTGGGACTCTGGCGCTGGTGGACGAACACCAATGCCAGGTGGTCTTCCCGAGCGCACTCCAGCTTGGGGAAGAAGTAAGTTGATCCTATCCTATTCGTCAGTGTTTACTAACATCTTTAGCTCCTCATGGTGGTGCCCAAGGCGGACGAACGCCTGCCTGGAAGTCTGGTCCCACTGACGGTGGACGAACGCCTGGTTGGTCGAACGATGGATCTCGAACTGTTTATGCAGCAAATGATGGTAGTCGGACAGCCTATGGAGGTGGCAATAGAACTCCTGCTTGGTCATCTGGTGCTAAAACCCCAGCTTATAGCTTATCAGATAACTATGGATCCAAAACTCCCGCGTATGGCGGTAGTGGTGTTGCTGGAGATGCATGGGGTTCAAAGACACCAGCCTATCAACCAAATAATACAAACGACAGCTGGAACTCTGGCCAATCCAATAACAATAACTGGGGAACAGCCTACGATGCTCCAACCCCTGGTGGTCCTTTATCGGCACCTACGCCAGCTGCAATGAATGCACCAACCCCAGGTGGATATTCTGCTCCCACACCAGCTGCAATGAACGCTCCAACTCCCGGGGCTTATTCGGCGCCAACACCAGCTCCGGGTTATTGGGGTGCTCCTACACCTCAAGCTATGGATGCTCCTACACCTGGACCAGGATACTATGCAGGTGCTCCTACACCGGGTGCCTATGCTGCGGATACTCCAGCAGGTAATTGGCAGGATGATGGCCCTAGATACGTGGATTAATGGTGATAAGTTGCATTTGCTTGTGGATTGGTATGCATCCGTCGGTGGTTCGGAGGAACTTTATTGATTAAAATGGAGCGATGGAGTTTTCTTTTATCTGAAGTTATTTCTTGGGCACGTTTTAACAGAATGGTCATAAAGGGAATCCCGTTTTTTGGGTCATA